AAATTGTTTTCGGAAAACGCGCGTTTCCAGGGATTTATAAATATATATTAAATAGGTCAAAGTCGTCCCACGCGCGCGTAATTATCGTCCGTCGACGATATTTTTCTTTTTTTTTTCATAGATTTAAGAATATTAATAATATTTTTAAAAATACGAGAGACAACAACGCATACGCGTAATGTTTCTTCTTTTTAAATTTCCGCTCTCCACTAAAAACTATTACATTTCGCTTTAAACGCGAGTAAATGCTCGGAAATCTTTCGTAGATAAAGACCCGAAGCACATCCTCGCGGGTGCAAAGTCACGTTTCAGCGTTGATGAAATCAGCGCTCGAGAGAGCCCGACCGCGTTTCAAGAACCTTCGTACCTAACGTAAGTCCCTATATACCTTCGCGAACGCGATTTCGCAAAGCAGATAAATCAGCGAAGCACGGGATTTTTCGAATAACAGCAATCCGCCGAATCTCCCAATCTATCTTATCGCCAGCGATTAAATTGTTTTTGTATATAAAAAAAATTGCGATATCGGTCACAACTATTCACGCTTTAGAAATATTAATTTTACCGTGGATATAGAGAAAAAAATCTCTTCCAATTATTATTATTATTAGATTTATATATTATTTTATTTTATAATAATATAAATATTATTATGATTATTTTTATTATTAAAAAATCTCCTTGTATAAAATCTATTAATAATAATAATAACAACGTTGTTACTATTATTAGATTTTATGAAGAAACTTTTTAATAATAATGTTATCATTGAGAGTAATAATAATAATTAAAAGTAAAATTTTTATTATGCACATAATAAAATTAATCGAACATTTTATATCTTGTGGTAGATTAATGTTTTTTTTTTTGTGGGAAAAATATTAATCAGAGAAACTCTTAAAAAATTCTTCCAATATCATATTGTCCAACAATTACCATGATTTTTATGGTAAATTTTAAGAGAAAATTCTATCTATGTAATACTATTAGTACACTGAAAAAAATGATTGAATTAATACATATTTATTTCAATATTACCTTAGAAATCATTTATTTGAAACAAATAAATATTTGTTTTGAAAAGAATTTTCTTACATCAAATCAATATTATTAGTTTCAAATAAATAATTTATTTTGGCAATATATTGAAATCAAATACTTATTCGCATTCAATAAATATTTTTCAGTGTATCTAATTAATACATAAAAAAATATATAACTATGTTCTCTTATATGCATTTTATCGCAAAAAAAAATTAGTTCTTTATTCTGAATGAAAAACTGTTCGTCAGGTTCGAGTTTAAGGGAAGATGGTCGCGCGAGAGGCCGATCTTCGCCGTCGACGATCGCGGAAGCAACCGGTGCGAGGAGGCGAGCGCGCAGAATGAGGAGAGACGGCGAGCGAAAGGGCAAACGGAAGGAAGGAAGGCAGGAAGGAGGGTACATTTCTCAGGGGTTTCTCGCCGGCCGGCCGAACGATTTTTCTTTGCGGCGGGTTGCATCGCGCTGCATTGCGGCTGCGACGCGGCGCGACGCGACGCGACGCGACGCGACGCAATGGCCGTGTGCCGTGTTGTGCGCTCGAAAATGCGGTGGTGTACCGTCATCATCGTCAACGGCATCACCCGATCGCGAAAAGGCAAGAGGGTGAGAAATGATGCACCCCTTCCTTCTGCGGATCTGCGCGATCCCGGCGAACGCTAGCGATGGGGTTGATTAAGTGTCTTATACGAGCCTCGAATCTGTTTGGATTCGAATTTTATAGGATCACTTGAAAAAGAACGGGTTTTTTTTAGTAGACTCGAACTTGCATATTATTTTATATTATTTATATATTATTATTTATATATATTTTTTATATTATTTTATATATTATTTCTATATATTATTTTATATAAAAATTATACATATATATACATATATATATATATATATATATATATATATATCACAAAAATGATGAAAAATAAAGTTAAATTCGATAAGATAGATTATAAATACTCAGATAGATAATAAGATAGAGATTATAAATACTTATAAAAAATATATATATATATATATATATATAATTTTTTATAAGTATTTATAATCTCTATCTTATTATCTATCTGAGTATTTATAATCTATCTTATCGAATTTAATTTTATTTTCCATCATTTTTCTGTTATGAACATTTATATTAGGAATTTATCTGAATGTTCATAATAGAAAAATAACGGAAAACAAAATTATTCGAAACGTTTCTGAATAGATACATAATAGATGCCCTAGATAAGATATAGAGGTTCGAATCTTTTATAAATATATTTATAAGAAATTTTATGTATATATTTTGTATATATAACTATATATATTCTCATATAAAATAATATATACAAATATAGAAAATAAAAATATTAAAATGATGATATATACTATAAATAAATATATTTATATATTATAAATATATAAATAATATATATATATATATTTATAATAAGAATTGAATTACTTTGCAAGAGTATACAACATATTGAAACACGATTTCTTATGAGTATTATTCGAATCCTAGAAAATGAAATTTGATTATTGGATTCGGATTTTTATATATGAAGTTGATCCTATCTCTAGCTAAAATATAGCGGAATAGAGGATTCGGTAGATCGAATCCGTGGATATAGTTCGGCTAAAAATTCGCTTCTATTATTAAAAATTGTGTGTTATTGTTATGTGAAACCCTCTTCATAAATATGTCGGTATCTTTATCGATTATATCGTGGTTTCTCTCCCCTCCTTCTCTCTCTCTCTCTTCCGTCCGATGCATACTCTCGTAATTTTATTCTTGTCTTTGCTCTGAAGAATTGATCCTGGAGAATAAATACGCGCGAAACAGGGACATTTTCGTGTGATATTTGCAATCAAATCGAGATTGCACGCTTATGAATTTTTCACTGTCAATATCTTGTTATTTCTCGAGGCGTCCTCCTTAAGTTTTTTCTCGGAGAGTTCAAAGTAAAAATATTAAAAAGCGCCTCCTCTTTTCTCCTGATTTTCATATTCCATTTAATTTTTATTTCCTACGTCACATTTTTTTCACGATTTATATAAATATATTTATATAATATTTATATATAAATCTCGAAATATAATATTTAATATATATATTTTTTTGCGATTTATTCTCTAATGGACTTGTATTTTTTATTTTACTTCCCAGTTTCCTCCCGAATAAATATATGGTTTAGGTGGAAGGATCTTGCAAAAATTCCCCCGAGGGGGTTGATCCTTCCCCCGCAAGATCGACCGAAGAAAGAAAGCCGGAGAGGGAGAGAGGATGGAAACGTCGAGTCGAGAAACGAGAGGAGCGAGAGAAAATAGGACTCGGTGTCTGGTTCGGTGCCTGGCACCGGGTTCCGGTGCCCGCTGTTTTATCGCACATGCCGCACGAACGGGCGAATTTCCGATTGCCCGCCAAAATATCAACCTCGCTTCCCGTGACAAGCCGAGAGAACCCGGGGAGCGTAAAGTTTTGATAAAATTCATCAAATACACACATATTGTATACACATACACCGAGGGCGGCTTATCGATGGATCTCGTTTACTTTTTACGGAGTTGGCGCGTCGCCCGCTTCGCTTATTATCGTTAATGTGTTTGGAATTCTCGACTCGCGCGAGAAAGAGAGAGAGGGCGAGAGTTAACGAGACCTTTAGTTTTAACGATGTGCACCTAGCCAGCCACCCTCTCTTTTCCCACCCCTAACTGCAAAAACGCAGCTTCGGACGCGAAGCGAGTCGCCTGTTAGATTAGGTCAATATTTGGCTCGCTTACGCGGGTAACCGGGTCAAGGATTGCCGTCGCCGAATGCGTCTCTATAACGTTTCGATAACGTGTATTATCGATGTATACTCTCCCAACGCGCTGCTCGCTTCTCGTTTCTCCATCTCGTTCATTCGGAATTTTGTCGCGCGAGTTCAACCCTCCGGCCAACTCTGCTTTTAGTTTACTCTTTCAGGGTTCACCCAATTCAGGGATATCGACGATTGTTCGAGAAATCATAGGGTCGAATATCGAGTACAGAACTCGAAATTAAATGTTAAATATTAAATTTCGCATTCAAATTTAATATCTTCATTATTGGAACAATTGGTCACATACACTTGTCCCCTTCAGAATACTTATTATGAATCTAACCTGTTCGGAAAGGTTTCCAATGATTTGTTTTTCCCTAGAGAATATAACAAGAAAGCTCTATAAGAAGAAATGTTTCCGAATAGATAAACCCGAATTGTAAACCCTTTGCCGGGTCCTGAAAGAGTGTCCTGGGACCTGTTCGCAAAGGTTATCGATCGGAATGATTTTGTTTCTTCCTAGATAATATAATAAGAAATCGCTATAAGAAGAAATATAGGAAGAAATGTTTCCGAATAGATACATAATAACTGTTTGGGATATCGCGAATTGTATAAACCTTTTGCGGAGTCCTGAAAGAGAGTTCTGGGACCTGTTTCTCGGGAAGGTTTCCGATCGGAATGATTTTGTTTTTCCCTAGATAATATAATAAGAAAGCTCTATAAGAAGAAATGTTTCCGAATAGATAAACCCGAATTGTAAACCCTTTAAGAAGAAATGTTTCCGAATAGATAAACCCGAATCGTAAACCCTTTGCGGGGTCCTGAAAGTGGGTCCTGGGACCTGTTCGGAAAGGTTTCCAATCGGAATAATATAATAAGAAGTCCCTATAAGAACAAATAGATACATAACAGCTGAATATCGCGAATTGTAAGCCTTTCGCGGAGTCCTGAAAGAGGGTTCTGGGACCGAGACACTTTTTCGGCCTCAATCGAAGCCTCGGTCTGATGATAGGACGGGGTGGTTGGCGGTGGTGGATGGCGAACGGGCTGACCTAGAGATGTCACTGGGTTAGCGTGTCCATGGGCCATCCATAACTCCTCCCGTCCATCCCTCTCCACCTCTCTGATGATACCCGGCTATACACGCTCGCTTTTACCCTGTCATAGAGAGACGAGACTGCGGGTCCGACTGACCCGCTCGCGTGTTTCCTGTACCTGCAACGGCGAAATATGCAAGCCGACAGCACTTGGCGTGTCTTCGGAAGACGAAGACCGACGATGACGTATGACGTTGGGGGCCGAGAACAATTAGAGGAAAAGGAGAAAGAGGTTCCTCGATCGATTAATTACTTCCTAAAAATTGCGAAAGGGAAAAAAGAACACGTCTTTTGTAGAGAACACGCGTTCCCCGGTGCAAATTCCCCGAAGGGACGAGTATTACTTGGAGTACAAATCGTTCATCCGGATGAACGAGGCTGCGAACAATGCCGCGGTCCCGATTCATCCTCGAGCGGACGCGATAGAAAATTCCGCGTCGCGGGAGAAGAATGCTCGCGCACGCTATTTTCGCAGAATATCCCGGAGAAACGCCGGTACCGAGGCTTCACTTCACTCTCTCTACAAGGTGTCCCCGGAACCGATAGGACGTCTTCTTTTATTACCGCTCGTTCGGAAAAGCGTCATTTATTTCTGTTTAAGTAGAATAGCCCGAAATTTGTTCTGTTGAAAAGGGAAAGAAATAATAATATTTTATTCGACTAATATTTAAGGGAATGCTAACAGAGTGAAAATTTTTTTACTAGAATTAAAGTATTTATAATAATAAATGTGAACTGCCATATATGTATAGGAAAAAAACAAGAACGTTAAATAATTCGTTTTCTTATTGATTAGGTCAACAATGCATAAAATCGATAAGAAAATTAATTAGCTTTCTTGTTTTTTTTTTTATATATATACATTTAGGGTAGCTCAGATTTATTATTATGAATACTTTAAATCTAGTAAAAGATTTTTTATTCTGTATATCCAATAAATATAGTTAAATGAAAGCTTCTTGGTACTCGCAACGACATGTTAGATTATGACGTCAGAGAAAATACACGCTGAAAATTTTTGCGTGTCATTTTTAAATAAAAAGATTAAATATACAAAGTGTATTAAAACCATCTATAGTTGTGTTTCATCAAAATATCATGTTATCTAAAAATGGCAAAAACACAAAAATTGTGTATTTTCTCTGACGTCACAATCTAACACGGCGAGACCCAGGAAACTTTAATCTTTATCATAATTAACAGAAATGTTTTAAAACAAAAATCGAAAACAAAATTCGTTGCGGTGAAAAATCTTGAAAAATCTGATGAATTCTTGTTTTTCTTTTTTCGGAACACCCGATGGAGAACTGTCGATGCATATTTCGCTCGAGCAGCCGGTCTCGTTTTTCACCCCTCTCCGGGGGCAGCGCGGGGTGGAGGAGGGGGATGATTTCCTAAATGTCCGCGTCGCAAAATTCAACGAGCCGCAGTGCAGCCAGCCAAGCCGAGGCAGTGACGCCCTGACCTTTCGTTTCTCGGTCAACGATCGTCCGTGTGTCTGCATCCTGCACGTGTGTGCATGAATGTCTGTGTGCAACGAAAATTCGCAGACGTTCCGTCCGATATCGTCAAACCGAGGGGGTAGAAAAGGAAGACTGTCGCTCTCTTTCTCTCTCTTATCTTTAAACAAGGTGTATACTCCCTGGAAAAACCTGGAATTCTCAGGGAATTTTGTTCTACCTTGAAAAATCCTGGAATTTGATTGAAACTCAGGGAATTAAAAAAAAATTGCCCCTTTGATTTCGAAATATAGTTTTAAAGAATATACAATTTATTAGTTTTATATAAAGTATGTATTAAAATATATTTTATTATAATATAATACTATATTACATTATTATATTAAAAAAAATACTTCATTTATGTTAAAAAATTATATATAACAAATAATTACTTTAAAATTGTATTCTAAATATTATTTAAAATATTTTAATTTTACCTGGAAACTTATGGAATCCTCAGGGAATTTATTTCCAAGATTTGAGTATACACCCTGTTAAAGAGACAGTTCAATTAATTTAGGGGGGTCACCAATCTTGAATAGAGAACGGGAATAGACCGGGGCGCTTCTATTTCGAGATCGGACGATGGAATAATTTTCGCGAATTTTCCCATTTCCCCCGTGAATGATCGAGTTACGCGCGAGTCAGCTTTAATTAAGTCTTTGTATAAAATTCGCCCCGAATATATATATATATATATATATATATATATATATATATATATATGTATATATATACTTCAATTCCTCGCTCGGGATCTCGTATCTCTTCATCCTTGAGGAAAGACTCCCACGTTTCTCCTTCTCATTTCCCGTTTATATGCGAATTCCACGTCGCTTGTCGGAGGGAAGGCGAATACACGGACGACTGGAATTTCTAATAAGCACACACACACACACACACATACATATGTGTATATATAAACGTCACGGACGACGCATACGAAATACGTCAAATAACGAAATCGTAGATCGCCAGCCGGTCGAAATGAGGGTGTCGTCGCCGGATATGTCAAATTTGATACGACACATGAGATAGCACGACGAAAGGGAGAGACAAAGAATTTTGTTCTGCGAGAATTTTGTTTGCTACCCGACTTGGTAATCAAGTATTTTCGAGTAAACCGGTTTTTTATATCTCAACTGAAGCGGAATTTCATTCTTTTTTATATCCTTATTATGTATTTTCTAGTATTCATGTTCCAAGTAGCAAACTGACGTCATTAAACGTCAGTCATGACGTGACGTCATTAAACGTCAAAATGACATCAATTGACGTTTAATGACGTCAATTGACGTTTAATGACGTCAGTTTGCTACTTGGGACATGAATACTAGAAAACACATGATAAAATAGTCAGTTTGCTACCTGGAATATCTTCATCTACACAGATAGAATTTCCTCTTAAAATTTACCGTGAAAATCATATCGTGATAAATATTAATCAGAGAAACTCATAAAATTCTTTCAATATCAGGATTTTCAGGATAAATTCACGGAGAGAATTCTCTCTGTATACCTACTATCATTATTGAGCACTTGGTTTACATCTGTACTGCTGTTCTCTAAAACCCTTAGGGCTAACTGAAGCTACGATATGAAGCTAAGCGTATCCCTCTCCTTCCAGAGAAGTAATCCCCAAATAATGAACCTACGAGGGTAGACATCCCCCTGGACGGTTGTCAGTGTTTCACCCCCTTCGCACTTTCGACCTACCCTCGTTCAATCACTTCTATCTATCTCTCTCTCTCCGATTACTCACAATCAGTTTCTACGTTGCAGGGACGAACGATGCTTCACGAACGAAGAATGTAGACGAAAAGGAGGGCAGGGCAAGAGAGCGAATCTGCCTGTCGCGGATTCGGAGGAGGACATCGCCGCTGTCTGAAGTCTAATCGAGCACCTTCCTCGCGTCTTCCTCGCTGTAAGTGCTGCAAAGAAAGCGCGGAAAAAGAGTTGGAAATGCAAACTGATGCGAAAGAGGGAAAAAGGATTCCAATTTCCGGATGGTTACGAAGGCAAATTGTCACTTTAGCAGAGAGCGTGTGATTTAAAAGAGTGGAGATACCCCTTTTATGCCTTTGTCTTATCACACTTTAATCGAAAAACGATTCTTTAATATAATTAGGTAAAGTGCGAGGACGGTTTCAGCCAAAGTAATTACACGAATCGATCACGCCGGTTGAATGCGTGCGTCAGCAATTATCGCGATGGATATAATTTGAAATATATTTATTATGTCGGATTGATATATATATATATATATATGATGTATATAGGTCGATTTATAAATAAGTTCTCTACTTACTATGCTGAATTTTTATATTAAAACTTATTATAATCTATATATATCATACATATATACATATGTCAATTAGATATAATGAATATTTATTTCAAAAATTTATTTACCATCAATTTTTAATCTGTTATAGAAGCTTTTTTTTTACAAATTCATCAATCTCAGCATCATTATGAAAAATTTAATGAATTTTTGAGTGACCTAAACAGATGGAAATCTGATAAGTCCGAATAATAAGGAAGATGAGGTAGAATCACTGATAAAGAAAGTTTTAGAATTTCTTCTTCAGTTATTTTTAGCTGTAAGTACACGAAGAGAATTTTCTCTTAGAATTCACCCCGAAAATTATGGTAATCGTGGGACAATTTGGAAGAAATTTATAAGAATTTTTCTGATTAATATCTACCACAATAAAAAATATTAATATGTATACATAGCAATTTTTATTATGTATATAATCGAACATATTTTATATCTTATTATGATAGATATTAACATTTTTATTATATATTGTTTCACGATTTCTAATTGAACAAAATTGAGCTGATTGTTTCAATTTAAAAAAAAAAACTTACAGTTTTTCAGAAGAAAAATGGTTCAATAATTATCTATTGCGAAACTTAGTTATGAATCGATTCAGTAATTCTTAACAAAAAAAATGGAAAAAATGTATTATTTTATAGTAGAAAATAATTTTCACATCTCAAAATAATTCAGCAAAATGGACGAATTGAATTTCCAAAAATCGTTCATGAATCAGCTGTTCTGACAGGACGAAAGGAAATTTAAAAAAATCATTTTTACGAACATTCAAAATTTATAGGGACTTTTTTGTTCATTTAAAAGTAATACAATCTATTCTTTTCATATATTTTTATCTAATTGTGATGGAGATGTTAATATTTTTATTATATATTGTCCCACGATTACCAAGATTTTCAGGGTGAATTCTAAGAGAAAATTCCCTCTGTAGTTGAACAAAATCATCTGTAGTTGCTGCTTGTTTCAATTAAAAAACAAAACTCATAGTTTTTCAGACGAAAAATGATTCAATAACTCTTAACAAAAGAAATTGGAAAAAATGTATTATTTTATGTAGTAGAAAATAATTCAGCAAAACGAGCGAATCGAATATCCAAAAATCGTCCCTATAAATCAGTTGTTCTGACAAGACGAAAGGAAATGAATAGAAAAAAATCCTCTCTATATGAGCATTCCAAAATAGGGTCATTTTCGCTCGTTTGAAAGTAGCGGAGTCTATTTTGATCACATCCTGTCTCGCAAAAAATTCGGCGCTCTCTCTCTCTCTACGCACCGAGTTTAATCGTGACATCGTGACACTCTGGATCACGACCCTATCCTATCTACATACGTAATCTGAATAGAAGGCACACGTATAATGCTGCCGCAGTGTGCCGAGGGAAGTAACTAGTCGGCTTCGGTGGCTCTAATGCGACGACGGCCTCGCGACTGTTTGCCAATCGTCGTCGTCAGTGCTTCGTCGACGGGGTCGCCGAAATAGTCACTGTCATTATTATCGCGCTACACCCTTCCTTGGCGATCCTTATCGCGGCGCGCGACTCCAATCGAGTAATCACGTCATATCAAGATATATCGATAACTCGCGGGGGAGAAGGAAAAGTGTCGAGGACGGGAAAGTGACGGAAATCTCGTTGACAGTAAACCTCGGGGTGAGTCCGCAGAAGAGATCTTCTCTTAATATTCGTCTGGATTTTTTTCCCCTTTATTTCGACTCTTGGAACGAATCAGGAAAAATATATTGACAGTGTCCGCGAAAATTCAAAAAAATTAAGCTAGGTAATTTCCTTTTCATACGAAGACTTCGATCATTCGACGCTCTCTCTCTCTCTCTCCTTTTAACGTGCTAAACCAATAAATTCCAATTTCTGACGACGCGTTAAAGCCGCGGCCTCGTGCGTAAACTTCCGCGTGCGACGACGTTCCCGTGGACGAGTTGCGTGTGACCGAACGCGGGTTCGGAACACGTAGAAGGAAGTTGCTAATCAACCGTGGACCTTCGTGTGGTGTAACTAGAGACTACTATCATCCTACTAATCCCTCCTAACGTGTGTGAGACGGGGAAAGGGAGAGAGAGAAGGAGGGAGGCAGCAAATCGACGTGTTATCGGGCACGCTGCTATCATCATCGTCTCGATGTGATGTGCGAAAGTGCATTTGGAAACCTATTATATGCAATCTGTACGGAGAGTACTTTTCTCTTAGAATTTAGCCCGAAAATCACGGCAATTAAATAGGAAATATTTTTCATATTTTATAGTTATCACAATAAGATGTAAAATTTGTTTCATCAATTTTACTATGTACATATTTTTTAATTTTTTTTATTGTTAATATTTTTAATCAGAGCAACTCTTATAAAATTCTTCCAAGATCATATATATATATATATATATATATATATATATATATATAACAAAGAGAAAATTTTCTTCCTATACAGATGTATACAAATATGTCTATATAATATGAAAAAAAGGGAAATATATATATATGAAAAAATATATAAAAATATATATATATATCAAAAAAATATATATAAATTATATAAAATATATATACATATGTATGTATATATATAAAAGTATATATACATATAATACATATAAATGTGTATGTACATATAGAAATATATTTTTTTATTGATAACATACAATGAATAAAAATGTTATTACTTGTTGCGCGTTTTTTTTGCGACAATTTGTTTGGCTAATTTGAAATCGAATTTTTATTGGCAAAAATCTCGATAGTTTTTGAACTTATCGGAGAAGCTTTTCAAGAAGTTGAAATTAAAAAAAAGTTATATTTTATCTTATCAGGTGAAACTGGCTTTGATAGATATTAAAATTCAAGGTTTAGTTACAGAGAAATATATATTATTATTAATCAATATTGTTATATATTATTTAATATCAATCAATATTGTTATATATTATTCAATATCAATCAATATTGTTATACATATGTTATTCAATATCAATCAATGTTGTATATATAATTATGAATCAATATTGATAGAAAAAAACGGAGCATTTAAGATAGTTTTACGAAGGAAACATTGAACTCAAAAAATAATTTATCGTTAAGAAATAACGCAGTACTTGTGTGAAAAAAAATCGTATTAAATCAATTATATATTTTTAATATTGCAAATATATTTCGTAGCATAAAGAATGATCTACAACGAGTGTAGAAAACTTCAACAACTTGTTACAAACATTATTTTTCAATAAAAAAATGTTATATGAACATCTTATTTTAAGTTTGCACATTTCGAGCACTTTTGTTATGACTCATGCACCAAAATATAATTTTCCAATAATAATTGTGAATTTAATAGAATAATAAATAGAATATATTTGTTGTTTTTGGAATTGCAACTAGATAAAAATTAAATCTACTACTTATGCATTAATAAAATTTTTTGATCTTTTGTTGTTCTACAATTAATTAAAATTTTACACTTTTTTTGTAGATCATTCCGTATATAATTTTTTATCATCGATAGCGTATAATAAAAGTATTATACTTGTTGCACGTTACTTTTTTTCTTTTTAGCAACAGTTTGGATAATTTAAAGTCGAGTCTCTTGGCGAAAATCTCGAGGCACCGATAGTTTTCGAACTATCGGAAAAGAAGCTTTTCAAGAAGTTTGAAATTGTATGGAATTAAAAAAAGTTGCATTTTATTATATCAGATGAAACTAACTTCTATAGAAATTAAAATTCAAGGCTTGGTTACAGAATTGGAAAAAATGGAGCACTTCCAAAACAATCTCGCTAAAAAACATTGCTTCCAAATGGAAAAAAATCATTTATCGATAAGAAATAACGTGTTATTTACGTTAAAAAAATCATAAAAATATTAAGATATATATTTGCAATATATTAACATTTTTTCGCATCATTTTTAAAATTTAAATACATGTATCCATTCGATTTCATTGAATTGAAATCGCTGATTAATTGCAATATTTTTATAAGACCATCTTTCCGGGTTTTTTTACCATTATATAATTTTTTTTTAATTTAGAAGATCGAGTTTGATGGGTAAGAGAGAATTTCATACGTGAATTTAATTTTATCTTTAATACCCTACAAGTCAAAAGTTTTTCTGCTTCGGTGTCTCTACAACATCGCCCTGGAATTTGCAAGATTGCAACGTTGTTAATATGTTTTTGTGCTGTATGAATACTCTGATAAATTCTTGACTCCGTCGTTGAAAATTTGCGTTCAAAGCCTTGTAGATTCTATTAAAACAGCACCCAGCTTTAGTTTGTAATTCCGAGACACTCTGTGCATATCACGACGATGTATTTCGATGTATCGAGAATATCAACGCGACACATATAGAAAAAGTTTTCAGCATAAGGTTTTTATAGAAAGTTTGATTAAAAAAATTATCGACGAAAATTATCAGCTGAAAAACACTTTATTATTTATTAATGAATTTATTAAATTTGTCACTATAGAAATAAATAATCAATTAATAAATAATAAAAACACTTTATTATTTATTAATTGATTATTTATTTCTACGGTGACAAATTTAATATTGCAAAAAAATGAAGAATGGCGGAAATTAAATGTTCATCTTTTACTGAAAATGTGCGAGAAAATAAGCAAGGTCACGTATCGGCTGTCCGTCAATTATATAACGACCTTACCACGACAATAAATTGTGAATGCTTGACGGAGGAGTCGGCGTAGTAATATGGAAAGAAACGTGTCCAAATATTATTCAACGAAATCAATTATAATACTTATAATAGCCTGTCTTCGTCCAAGGATATCGAAGAGTCTTTTCTAATCTCTTCAACGCTCTCTCGAATTTCTTTACGAGTTTTTCCGATAAACGAATAATTATTCATGCATTTATTCGCGAAAAAAAATGGCGAGAGTAACGCACATACTTTATATTATTGTTTAAATATTTTTGGAAGGGCAAAACGTGTATAAAAATTAATATTTTTTAGCTGATTTCTTTCTAATCCAAATCAATCTGTAAATCAATAATAATTCATATATAATTTATATAATATAAATATGTAAGTATAGGGACATGCAAATTATATATTATATATTATTATATAATATTATATAATATATAATATTATATATACACATTATATAATATATATAATCTATAGTATATATCATATAATATATAATATATATAATATTATAATATATATTATATGTATATAATTTATATAATACTAACAATAAAATATAATTCAAATTATATATATTATAAATGTGTTAAAAAAGTAATATATAATTAATGTTAAATTAATTAGCCTAAATATAGTATTTTATTTATTAAATTAACTTAGGTGAAATTAAATGTTAGTCAACTTTATCGGCGTGGTTTCGGATGTTGTAAACCGCAGCGTCTCGTGTTTCACCACGAGGCAGCTTCAATTACAGCCTCAGATAGGGTTACTTTGTCTCTACGGAGATAACTTCGCGCTAAAGGGGGAGTTCGAAGCAAAGGGTGGATACCGTAGAAAGGTAGATAAGGGAAAGTAAATATTTAAGGAAGAAGATTGATATACTAATTCTTCGACGCGCCGTTGCTGGTCGATTATTCTGTTAAATGTGTCTTATTTTTTTTTCAATACCCCACGAAATCGAAAATCATCCCCTGGCACTTTTTCTCTTTCTCCCTTCTTTTTTTAAATTGTCCAATAACATTTGTTTTATTTTATTTTTTTTGTGTTTCGAAATTAATACATTGTTCGCAAATTATGCATCACCGCATTTTCTCTTATTTTTTTATGTACCCCTCGAAATCGAAAATCATCCCTTGTGGTTTTTTCTTCTCTCCCTTCTTTCTTTAAATCGTCCGATAAAATTCGTTAAATTGTTTCATAAAATTTGTTTTATTTTATTTTTTTTGTGTTTCGAAATTAATGCATGTTCGCAAATTATGCATCGCTGCATTGTCTCTTATTTTTTTGAAGTACCCTTTGAAATCGAAAATTTACCTCCGGCTCTTTTTCTTTCTTTAAATTGTCTAATAAAATTAATTTAATTTTTTTCCATTTCGAAATAAATGCATTGTTCGCAAATGATGCATCGCCGCATTGGCGCATTTTTCTGCATCTTTCATGTCAACCCGTGCTTGCGTCAACCGGATGGAACATAAGACACATTTCGGTTGAAAATAAGTCCTGCTCGCGATACATTCGACACGTGTATACGTGAATGTGAGATCCATTTCTATCACGGGGATGTTAGACCGAATGCAAGGAAAAATTTTATATATTTATAAACACACGTATATTGACATACGAAAACCTTATTTATTCTTTGCGCGTCTCGTTTGACACTGTTTTAGCTCTTTTATGCAGGAATTATGCAGGGTGATCTGCAACGAGTGTAAAAAAACTGGGACAGCTTGTGTTCGGGAGATAATTTGAAGTAAAACATGTTATATATTAAGAGCATAGATCCTATTTCAAGCTTACATTCGAGTTCAGGGAGCATATTTTAAGCATTTTTATATGTATATAACTCGTACACTAAATTGTTATTTTTCAATAATAATTTTAAATATATAAATAAAATATAGAACTAGATATTAAAGCTTTTATTTATTAAATTAATACAATTTTGATCTCTTGTAGTTTATGATTAATTGAAATAGGATCTAAATGCATATAACATTTTTCACTGAAAATGATCTCAAAGTTTTTTTACTCTCGTTGTAGATCACCCTGTATAATGATTATTTATTGTAACATATTTACTCTTAAAAATCAAATCTGTATCATTCGTCAGATGAGAAATGAGCAGTTTCCGATAGATTAATCCACTCCCTCACTCTTTCATCGCAACATTTCCGATCGTAAAGCGGAAGACGTAATCGGAAGCAACGTGACACGCAGAATTGTTACTTCAAACATTTGTATACCAAGTAATTTGTTCATTTTCATTCGCGTTACACGTACACAAACACGTGCAACTAACTAAATACACCTTACGCGAGAATGAAAAATAAATTTACACAAAATTAATAATTTTGCAAAAGTAAGACTTCTTGTACAAGACGTGTATTATATGTATATTTATATTTATCATTATAAATTTTATAAAATATTATAATTTATAAAAATTTATATTTTTTTTTTTATTTTATTAATTTATTGTTTTTCAGTTTTATTAATTTATATTTTTTAATTATTATTTTTTATAATTTAATACTTTTTTAAAATTAATTAATTATTATTTATTAATTTATATATTATTTATAATGAAAATTACTCGACCGATACTCTATAACGATTTCTTTTTCTCCCTTTTGCAGCCGAGCAGGCAGGATGTCGAGAAATCCTAAAAGTTCCTGGCGAACCGGCCCCGGCAGACTGGAGGCCCTGTTGACGCTGAGTCTGATCCTGCTCCTCGTCCTGCAGCCGGATCCTTGCCGAGGTTCGCCGTCTCATCGCAGTAGGCACCACGAGCACGAGCTGCACGTCGCGCAGGAGGGTTCGTCGTCGTCGTCGTCGTCGTCGTCATCGTCGTCGTCGTCGTCATCGTCATCGTCATCGTCGTCGTCGTCGTTACGCGATGATTTCGACGTCAGGAGTTCCAGGATCAGCGAGGAGCTACCGCGAGCGTCCGCCTTCACCGGCAACGATCCGCTGGTCGTACGTACCAGAAAGGGCATGATCCGCGGTAAGACCCTGACCGCCACCACCGGCAAGGAGGTCGACGCCTGGTTCGGCATCCCTTACGCCCAGAAACCTCTTGGTAAGCTCTCTTTACGGAGAAAGGAAAGAACAGTAAAAGAAACGTCACAAGTAGCAACTGACGTCATCAAAATTTGACGTCATTTTGACGTTTGATGTCATTTTGACGTTTGATGACGTCATTAGATGTCAAATGACATTATTTTGACGTTTGATGACGTCATTAGATGTCAAATGACATTATTTTGACGTTTGATGACGTCAGTTTGTTCCTAGGGTCGTTTAATGACGTCATCCGACGTCAAATGACGTATGCTCGCTACCTGGGGTAAAAGAAAAAAAAATAACGCTTTTATAAATTATAAGTTCTCCTAATGTTTGTTGACTTGGTAAGAAATTGAGAAAAGTGAATGATAAAATTGTATATTTTCTTGGGGGGTTAACTTCAAGTGAATGATATATTTAATTAGAGATTCTTGCGCAGGTCCTTTGAGGTTTCGCCACCCGCGACCGGTCGAACGCTGGCCGGGCGTGCTGAACGCGACCTCGCTGCCGAACAGCTGCGTACAGATCCTCGACACGGTGTTCGGCGACTTCTCCGGCGCCACCATGTGGAATCCGAACACGCCGCTGAGCGAGGACTGCCTTTACGTGAACGTGGTGGTGCCGCGGCCCAGGCCTACGAACGCCGCTGTCATGGTATGGATATTCGGTGGTGAGTTCCCCAGTGACGACAATCCATCATCAGTCTCTACCTTCGTTCCAGGCCTGGTGTCATCGTTCTTTATTACGCATTTAGTAGATTCCAGTTATTTACCGTGATTGTGAGAAGCATTGTATAATCATTTAAAATGCATTTTCTTCAAAGTACTCGTCTGTACGTTTCTATCACAACGACTATAAAGCTGTCGGAAGTATTATTGAAAGTTATTTTGTGTCTAAGCTTCTCTACAGTCGTATTCTGAATAACGTCAGTAGCATCATACTGTGTTTATGTCAGTCATAAAGAATTTTTTTTCATTACCTTGTCACGCGGTATATTTACCCTGTTAACGTTTCAATTAATGGAATTTGCAATGTCGTTGTTATAGATATTTTCAATTGCGGCATTTGAAAAGATCGAATAATTGCTATTATGCTGTTAGAGGATACAAAAGTATTTGCATATTGACAGTATGAATAAGGCCACAAAATATTCGTGGGAATTTCTGTCAATCAATTCCGAAATTAAACCTTTTGAAGCTACTAGTATTAGAACCAGAGAAAATTAATAAAACGCGATCGATGTATGAAAGATAAAAAATATAATTAATATACAATTTTATTATTAATTACAATAACATAATTTCTTTTCTTTTCAATTTTCATTTGTTTAAGAAATTTGAATATTATATTATCAATATATAAATAATATATACAATATATAAACAATATTTTTAAAAATACACATATATTTTTTAATAATAAATATATATATATATATATATATATATATAATAATATAAGAAAAAGAAATATATGTGCGCCAGCATTAAATTGTGCAGCTGCGAGAAACCCAAGGATCTCTGCGACCTCTCTTTCAGGTGGCTTCTACTCCGGCTCGGCCACCCTCGACGTGTACGATCACAAGACCCTGGTCTCGGAGGAGAACGTGATCGTGGTGTCCATGCAGTATCGCGTGGCCAGTCTCGGCTTTCTGTACTTCGGCACGTCCGACGTGCCCGGTAACGCCGGTCTCTTCGACCAAATGATGGCCCTGCAGTGGGTGCGCGACAACATCGCCGCTTTCGGTGGCAATCCCGACAACGTCACGCTCTTCGGCGAGAGCGCGGGCGCGGTGTCCGTCTCCATGCACCTCCTCTCGCCGCTTTCCAGGTCAGTTTTAATCAGACAGCAAACAGATATCGAAGATCCCGCGATATGAAATTTCAAGGAATGTAAAAATTATATTCTTTTTATTCCTTTTTGCAATATTATTGGATATTTTTATATATTATATGTGTATTTTATATATTATTATTATATTATATATTATATGTTATAAATTTTTGTTATATTTATAAATTTGAAATATTCTATTTTTTATATTTTTAGATAGTAATTTTATTTAAATGATAAATATAAGAGTATTACAAGTTTTTTAAAGATTATTTAATATAATAATTATTATATATATTATAAATATTATATATTATAGATTATTTAATATAATAATATATTTAATTATAATATAATTTTAAATATATTTTTTTTTCGAGTCGGTATAAAAATGACGTTTTCAATTGTCGCTAAAAAAAACCCACCGGGGATTTCCGCTTGCAGGCACCTGTTCAACCAGGCCATCATGCAATCGGGCTCGCCGACCACGCCGTGGGCGATAATCTCGCGCGATGAATCGATCGTGCGCGGAATCCGGCTGGCGGAGGCGGTCGGCTGTCCGCACGATCGCGACAATCTGCGGGAGGTGATCGACTGCTTGCTGACGAAGGACGCGGAGGAGCTGGTGAAGAACGAGTGGGGCACTCTCGGGATCTGCGAGTTCCCGTTCGTCCCGGTGATCGACGGCGCGTTCCTCGACGAGACCCCGCAACGTTCCCTGGCGACCACGTCCTTCAAGAAGGCGAACATCCTGATGGGCTCCAACACCGAGGAGGGCTTCTACTTCATCATCTATTATCTCACGGAGCTGTTTCGCATCGACGGCACCGAGGACGTGAAGGTCAGCCGCGAACAGTTCGTCAGCGCCGTGTCCGAGCTGAATCCCTATGTTAATCAGATCGGCCGGCACGCCATCATCTACGAGTACACAAACTGGCTGCACCCGGACGATCCCGACGCGAATCGCGACGCCATCGACAAGATCGTCGGCGACTATCAGTTCACCTGCAACGTCAACGAGTTCGCCGGCCGTTACGCCGACACCGGCAACACCGTCTACATGTACTACTTCAAACACAGGTAAAAGGAGATCGATTCGCGCGATACCATTCCCGCGGCGACTACGGTAGCTTGGAAAAGCTGCAGAGATTATTTTATTATTGTTTTGTTATATTGAATTTTTATGTCTAATGCAAAACGCACATTGGACATACATTTTCTTAATAAGATGTCTCTTGGTGCAACCATATGTACTTTTGTCAACGTATTTTATATCGCAGCTACTACTGCGAATTAATAATGATATATTGTGTAAATGGAGAATTAAAAGAATTTTTTTCAAATTTTATTCATCTGTCATACGACTAAAGAAAGTGCAATTTTAATCAGATCTATGAACAATCCGTGGCCGAGGTGGACTGGAGTTATGCATGCCGACGAGATAAGCTATATTTTCGGGGAACCTTTGGACCCATCCAAACGTTATACGCAAGAGGAGAAGAATCTTTCAAAGAGGATGATGAGATACTGGGCGAACTTTGCAAAGTCGGGGTAAGATTTCCGTCCACAAATTAATAATCCGACTTTCATCTTGAATTTCTTATTTTTGTATTGAAACATTTTTATATATAATTTCTGAATTATAATACAATTGTGCAACGTTAAAAATAAATCTAATTTAGAAACGAGTAAACATCTTTGAAGCTGAATGTAGGACATATTAAATTGATTAGAGAACTGTTCCTTTTATATGATTTATACTGTTCCTTTGATATTAATTAAAATCACCCGGATAGAATGTCAACAAATATTTTCTCATTGATCTAGTAAAGCCGGATATGTCAATTTCATTATTGTGCACGTCTATTATCCCTATTACCGAAATATCTCGAAATTCCCATTATTCGGAGATATTTCGGTGCCGCGTCAGAGGACAGGCGATATATTTAGACGCGTGATTTGTGTGATCGAACCAGGGATCCGAATGTGGGCGACTCCTTACGTGATACACAGTTGGCTTACTGGCCGCAGCACACCGCCGCTAATAAAGAGTACCTGACCTTGGATATCAACAACACGGAGATCGGTAGCGGACCCAGGGTGAGGCAGTGCGCCTTCTGGAAGAAGTACCTGCCGCAGCTGCTCGGCGCTACGTGTAAGTACCTTTTTTGTTTTCTACGTCACAATTTAAGACTCTTCTGTCAAAATATAATTACACATTTCTCATTAAAATCAAATTCTTTCGGGTATCGAAATTATAATTTTATATATATATATATATATTAATATTAATATATATATATTATATATATATATTATAGATTAATATTATATATAATATTATATATATATATATATATATATATATATATATATATATATTATATATATATATTATATTATATATATATATATATATATATATATATATATATATAATATAATATATATATATATATATATATATATATATATATATATATCATTGATGGAAGGGTTGAAGAACGATAAATCTTCGTAAATCGTTGCTATCTTTTGAACGAGAGCCCCGGCGATCGCTTTCGAATCGAATAATCGATCGCGCTCGCGAGAGCCTCCACCTGTCACAGATGCAAACGGGAATGACAGGGGGTTGAGATTCATCGAAGCATCGAGGCCCTCGACTGCGTTACTTACTACGGCGCGGATTGTCTTGTGTATGACACCTGTTGAGCGCCAAGTACGTTTGATTGTTCTCGCACGCTCTCGAGAACTGCTTGGGAGACGTCGCATTCCTAGCTAGACGTGGACCTAGATATAATACACGTCGAACGCAAATACTCTCCCTTCTCGCATACCTAGAGGAAGAGAGAGAGAGACAGAGAGATCGAAGGACGCTCTTCAAATCGGACCCTGGAGACCAAGATTCCGAAGGTTCAGCTAAACAAGGGAGCTCCTCGGGGAAGATGATCGAAATTCCCGTGTCGGAGCAGAGGATGGAACGTCGCGGAAATACTAAGGGAGTAGAGTCGCACTTATTGTGTGTGTACGAAGCGACTGCTGAGGCAACGCTCGAGTTTGCATCATTTATTCAGAACCGCTATCAAGTGCGCTTCGCCAAGTGTCCCACTTAAGGAAGGCGCTCGCGCGGCTTCGCTCGACGACGGGAGATCTCCCTCGGGGAAATCTTACGAGATACATGCTGTCCACCTCCTTTCACACAGTCGGACAGCTATATTTCCGTCGCTCTTAACAGCCGGAGGGGCAGGAGGATGAGTCTTATTCGCGACCGATCGTTATTTCACGGATAATAATAATCGCGATATCTCTCCCCTGTGTGATTATCGCGATTATTGTCCAAGATGTTGCGGAGAAATTTTTGACGTACGAACACAGGTGGTTTATGCACTGAAGAAAAATTTGTCAACTTGATTAAATCTTTTTTAAGATATATTAGTATTTAAGTCATTTAGTATACGGTTTGTTAGATTTAATATGTTATATTTAATAGATATATATTTACAAATAAAATATATTAATATATTTACAATATATATATATATTTTTTTTATATGCAATATTATATATATATATATATATATATTAAATTAACAAAATAATATTTAGTTGAAAGATTTAGTCAAATTAGCAAATTTTTTTCCAGCGTGTAAATTAATTATTCAATTATTGTGTTATACCGTGAAATAAATAAACGAGAGTAGATATTCTATTAAGATGAAGAAGACGAAATTCTAACGTCGCGAGGACAAAGAATATTTAATTAAAAACAGCGAACAAGAGGGCGAGAAAAACTCTTGAAGATATAAGTTGGCGAATCTGAATGAAACCACGAGCGTTTCTCAATAATCAATAATATTAAATAAAAGAAAGAGGAATCAAAGAGAGAGCTTCTCCCCTTAAATTTCGACAATCCAATTCGAGATGCGGGACCCTCATCCCCAGGCGCGAATATATTAATTATTTGCGTACATATATCGCGTTTCTGGCGAAAGCCGGGTAATCGTCTTTGCGGGCGGAGATTCATTAATGGACTTTCATATATACACGTTATTCGCGATAACAGTCTGAAATTTGTACCTGCTCGAACAAAACACAGCGTCGCTTTATATGATAATTATTACGATTACGGTATAAAGCACCGATCTCGCGCACGCCACGGAATTAAACGGCGTAGCGTGTCATCGCAGTCACGAAAGTTGTAATGTCACCCACCGTTTTGCACCACAACTGTATTACATTATTACAGAAACGAGAAAGAAAGATGTATTTACGTATTTATATATACGCACATTTATATGTATATCATATCATATATTTAATTATATATTATTTATTTGTTTTTATAATTATATATATTATATATTTATTATATTTTATTTTTATTTTATATTATATATTATATATATATTTTTTAGTTATATATATTATATATTTATTATAATATTTTATATTATTTTATGTTATATTATATATATTTTTTTAATTATATATATTATATTTATGTAATTATTTATAATTTGTATATTATAATGTATATATATATATTTAATTTTTTATAATTTCAAACTTTTAAAGATATTTATGTATACAATAATATATAAAACAAATATAAATATATTAAAAAATATATACATAGTGTATAAAAATAATACATATATATATATACTTAATAAATATATTTTATATGTATAAACATAAAAAGTTTTTTAAAAATATGTATATACATACATAAAAAGTTTATAAAAAATATACATGTGTGTGTATATATATGATATACGCTAAAGTTCCTTTTTTCTCATTTCACGCGCGCGACCAAGCGAAAATATCGTCCTCGTTAGAGAGAGAATTCTATCGGTCCCTCGATACACCCTGACAGGAAAACATCGGCGGGAAAAGGATCGCGATAACGGACTCTCTCGTAAATTTCGTATAACTTGGAAATATATAAGCTTTGTAAGCGCGGTCGTTAAGACGACGGAAAGGAAAAAGACACTATCTCGCGCGAGAAATGTCAAGAAACGCGTCACCGCTGCTGCCGAATGTTGAATTTGGCATCTTTCTTTTTCTCGAGAAAGAAAAAGAGACGGAGGTATTTTAGTTCTGCTCTCGCAAACAGAACTTTTAATTTATACGGAATATTTAACCCAGTCCGGGCTATGAAATATATTTGTTCATATTCATCATTGCGATCTCTATCTTTGCTCAAATCTGCAACGAAGAGAAAGAGAGACGATCAAAATGTTTTTTTCCAAATATTTTCAAATATGCAAATTATAAACTGTTAGTATGTAGAATTTTAGAGCGATAAATCGACGGAATTGAATTCCTTTGAGAGATAACTTTTACGTTAATTCTGTCAATAATAAATAACTATATAAATACTCGCTGTATGTATTTGCAAGGTAAATTTATTTTCAACAACCCTTCGCACATTAACTACAGACCCCGAAAATCATGCGTTTCCCTGGTTATCAAAGAGGAGAAAAAAAAACTCCGAAGGGTGCGAGTAAAAATTAAATACATAAAAAAATATACACGTAAAAATATACTCCGTACCTTAACGCGAATTAATTATAAAAGACTATTTGTGTGTGTGTGTTTTCTGTGTAATTAAAAGAGAACGACAGATATGCGAGTGCAAATAAAAGAAAATGAGAGGAAAATCTCTCGGGCAAATTTTCCAACTCAGAGATATATGACGCGAAATTAAAACAACAGAACAAGAACTCTCGCGAACAGAAATACGGTTACATCATCGAATAATATAAAGTATGAAAATTAAAAAGAGAAACAAATTTATTGGCTGTATATTTTTTCGATATATATATTTTTTTCAGTAAAAAATTAAAATTTTGTCTAGAGAGACTGATGCTTTTAGTAACAATAAAATCTCGATCGAACTCTCTTTTTCTCTATTAGAAATTCACTTGTTCATTTAATATTAAATTATTTATTTGTAATTAATTAAATATTATTTAGTTAATTAAATTTTTCTTCGCTATTTGTAGAAAAATTTTAAAAAATTTTTATCTAGCCAGATCAATATATACTTGCATCTTTCATATTGAATAACAATAAAATCCCGATAATTAAATACAGTTCTTTAATATATTTCTATACTCTTTCTATTAAATATTTCTTTCTGATTTATATATAAAGTATGTATTTATCCAAAATTGAGAATTGAAAGGAGATTCTTGAAAACTATTTATAGGGTCGTAGAAGAATATTAAATTATTTATTTTTATTTAAATAAATATTTTTCCTTTCCGCTATTATTTCCATTTTTTAAATTTATTTTTATATTAAATATATATTTCTATAATTAAATATATATTTAAATATACATTTCTCTACATTTTTTCTTTCATTTATATATATATAAAATATATAAATACATATAAAAATATATAGATATATATATTTATATAAAATTGAGAATCGAGGGTAGATTCTTGAAAACTGTGTACAGGGTCGTAGAAGAATATTAAATTATTTATTTTTATTTAACTAAATATTTTTCCTTTTCGCTATTATTTCCATTTTTTAAATTTATTTCTATATTAAATATATATTTCCATAATTAAATATATATTTAAATATACATTTCTACATTTTTTCTTTCATTTATATATATATAAAATATATAAATATATATAAAAATATAGATATATATATATTTATATAAAATTGAGAATTGAGGGTAGATTCTTGAAAACTGTTTACAGGGTCGTAGAAGAATATTAAATTATTTATTTTTATTTAACTAAATATTTTTCCTTTCCGCTATTATTTCCATTTTTTAAATTTATTTTTATATTAAATATATATTTCTATAATTAAATATATATTTAAATATACATTTCTACATTTTTCTTTCATTTATATATATATATATATAAAATATATAAATATATATAAAAATATATAGATATATATATTTATATAAAATTGAGAACTGAGGGTAGATTCTTGGAAAGTGTTTACGGGGTCGTAGTAGATATCTTTCGTTAATCGGTTAGCGGTTTCGCGGTCTGGAGAGCCGGGGGTGGGAAAAGAAGGGTTGGATATGCGGAGGCTGAAAGGGGGTTAAACGCCCGGCAGTTCAGAAGTTAAGGGAGGAAGTTTCTTCGCGGCGACGTGTGTTTGTCCGCGAAACAACCCTCTCGCACGTGCAAAAGTCGGAGTCTCTCTCTCTCTCTCTCTCTCTCTCTCCCTGAGGATTCGCAACGACGCGGTTTAGACGCGCCGCGAGTTACTTACCCGCGGCATCGATCCGCGCCCTGCCTGCTGGCTACCACCACCATCAACCACCACCCCCTCTCTCCCCCCGCCACCCCCCGTGCTCCGATATACTACCCCCGTTTGTTCGTTTTGTTTCGCTGCGCCAAGGCGAACGCGCGCGCGATCGAGAAGTCCCCTACTCCTCTTCCACCCTCGCTTTCCAACCCCCTCGAGGGGTGGAAACCCCCCGGCGCGTCGATCTTGCGACGCACAATGCGAAAATTTGCCTATCTCTGAAGATCTCTCGGAGAGGGATTCCTTTCAAGGGCTACCCTTTTTTGCTCCGAAATTATATTCCGTTCGAAAAGATCAATATGGGAAATTTTATGTTGTTTGGCTTTAGGGGGTGATTTTTTTTTAGACATTTTCTTGAGATCGAGGAAAATTAAAATAACACATTTATTAAATAGATGCTTTGGAGAAACTCCTCGTGGTGCTTGATAATTAATTGAAATATTGAGAAAAATGTATTATTATATGGGAAATTTTATGTTGTTTGGCTTTAGAGGGTGATTTTTTTTATACATTTTCTTGAGATCGAGGAAAATTAAAATAACACATTTATTAAATAGATGCTTTGGAGAAACTCCTCGTGGTACTTGATAATTAATTGAAATATTGAGAAAAATGTATTATTATATGGGAAATTTTATGTTGTTTGGCTTTAGAGGGTGATTTTTTTTTATACATTTTCTTGAGATCGAGGAAAATTAAAATAACACATTTATTAAATAGATGCTTTGGAGAAACTCCTCGTGGTGCTTGATAATTAATTGAAATATTGAGAAAAATGTATTATTATATGGGAAATTTATGTTGTTTGGCTTTAGAGGGTGATTTTTTTTATACATTTTCTTGAGATCGAGGAAAATTAAAATAACACATTTATTAAATAGATGCTTTGGAGAAACTCCTCGTGGTGCTTGATAATTAATTGAAATATTGAGAAAAATGTATTATTATATGGGAAATTTTATGTTGTTTGGCTTTAGAGGGTGATTTTTTTTATACATTTTCTTGAGATCGAGGAAAATTAAAATAACACATTTATTAAATAGATGCTTTGGAGAAACCCTTCGTGGTACTTGATAATTAATTGAAATATTGAGAAAAATGTATTATTATATGGGAAATTTAATGTTGTTTGGCTTTAGGGGGTGATTTTTTTTTATACATTTTCTTGAGATCGAGGAAAATTAAAATAACACATTTATTAAATAGATGCTTTGGAGAAACTCTTCGTGGTGCTTGATAATTAATTGAAATATTGAGAAAAATGTATTATTATATGGGAAATTTAATGTTGTTTGGCTTTAGGGGGTGATTTTTTTTAGACATTTTCTTGAGATCGAGGAAAATTAAAATAACACATTTATTAAATAGATGCTTTGGAGAAACTCTTCGTGGTGCTTGATAATTAATTGAAATATTGAGAAAAATGTATTATTATATGGGAAATTTAATGTTGTTTGGCTTTAGGGGGTGATTTTTTTATAAACATTTTCTTGAGACTGAGGAAAATTAAAATGACACATTTATTAAATAGATGCTTTGGAGAAACTCTTCGTGGTGCTTGATAATTAATTGAAATATTGAGAAAAATGTATTATTATATGGGAAATTTAATGTTGTTTGGCTTTAGGGGGTGATTTTTTTATAAACATTTTCTTGAGACTGAGGAAAATTAAAATGACACATTTATTAAATAGATGCTTTGGAGAAACTCCTCGTGGTGCTTGATAATTAATTGAAATATTGAGAAAAATGTATTATTATATGGGAAATTTAATGTTGTTTGGCTGTAGGGGGTGATTTTTTTTTAGACATTTTCTTGAGATCGAGGAAAATTAAAATAACACATTTATTAAATAGATGCTTTGGAGAAACTCCTCGTGGTGCTTGATAATTAACTGAAATATTGATAAAAATATATTATTTTTGAAGATTGCAAAAATATTTTAAACACAATGAAATGACACATTAATTAAAATTGATAGCACTTCTCTATATTTATAGCTTGTATTGATTGTTTAATAGAAACATTGTCTCAAAATAAAATTATGTCTAGACAGACTGAGTCTTCCATCTCTATATTTGGCATATTTACTTAATAAAAATTCGATTGTTTCTCTTTTTCTCTATTAAAGATTTATCACTTGCTTATAATTAAATATCTTCCCTTCGATTATTTGTAGAAAAAAAAATTTAATAATAAAAAAATAAATTTTTGTCTAGATTTTCCTTCATCTCTTATATTTAGCAATACAAAAATTTTGATCGTTTCTTCTTCTTTATTAGAGATTCGTCATTTAAATATTTTTCACGATTATTTGAAAAAAGAAATTTTATATGTAAACGCAGATATTAAGTGTGATAAATTATTTTAAAATTTTTTCCTAATTTCGAACGTTTCAAGACATCCAAATTTTCTGCTGAAGATGATCCAAAGAAGAGTCAGAAAAATATTCAAAACTACAGAAGAATTTAAAAACAAGTTTCGCACCTATTATTCTGTTTTATTAGTCCTGATTTTGTGCTAAAATATTTATTTCTAAATTAAAAATTTCTTGTTAGTTTTTTTCACCTGATTTTATATATATATATATATATATATATATATATATATATCAAAGCTTTTTCAATTTATTATTATCATAATTAATTATTTATGCCGATTTCACGGAATTCGCAGAATTCTCTTATTACACATCTCCTTTTATATTTATATATACACATACATATCAGAATCGCTTGATTTTATTTATTATATTAATTAGTTATATATTTATTATAATTATTTATATATATTATTTTATATTACGTTATATTATTACTTAATATTATTTAATATTATATTTGATTTCCTGGAATCCTCTTCTGACATATTAACCTTTTTAATACCTGACTTTGTATCTATATACGTGTCAGAGCCTTTTAAATGTATTAATACAATTATTCCAAGTAAGACGGACCTTTTTATAAATATTCTAAGAGACCTTTCTTCTTCCAGCGAAACTGGAGGTCGGGTCCAAGGAGACCTGCAGCGGCACCAGCCTCGCCGACTCCGGCGCGACCCGGCTACTCCTGATCTTGAGCCTGTTATTGACCGGCCTCACTACTCTGCCTCACATCCAGCACGACGTCAGAGGTATCGTCTAGCTCCCGGCCGCCGGAGCCGCCGTCCTAGCCCCGTCGAGCATCAGCAGCAGCAGCAGCAACAGCCCGTTTTCTCCCTGAAGAAGAAGAAGAGGACGAACTCGCGCGAGCGAGCGGACGGAGGAAGAAAGGCGCGAAAGAACGAACGAGGAATGATCGGGAAGACGACGGCACCGCGCGAGAAACAGACATATCAAGTAGTAGACGAGTGCTCGATCGCCGGGGGATCGACGATGAATTCGATAAACAAACACGCCCGCGTCTGTGAGAGAGAAAGAGAGAAAACTATGGGGAGAGATCCTTCTGAGAACCCGGTGGAATCGATGAGCTCGAGGCTCTTCTTCAGGATCTCGAACGGGGATCGAAGGAGCCTCGGAAAAATAGGGTAAGAGAGAGAGGAAATTAAAGGAAGAGGGTCACCGATTCCTTACATGGGCGTCCGCAGGATTTTTTTCCAGGATGGGGCATAATTAAATTTTTTTACTTTTTTAATTTAATTTCTCTGTTATTTTATTTTTTCATATTAAATATATTAAATATATTAATATATTATAATATATTAAATATATTACAATATATTAATATATATATTTATTATATTTATAATATATTTGATATATTAATATATTTAATGTATATATATTAATATAAAAATATATTAATATATTTAATATAAAAAAATGAAAATAAAATATCAGAAAAATTAAATTTAATATAATATATATATACAAATAAATTCCAGTGTTTAATTGCTTGATTTTTCACTGATTTCAAGGGGGGCAAATGTCTTCTCTCGCTCCCCTCTGCGGACTCCCAAGGTTCCTTATAAAGCGAAGCGGAGATGATATAACTGGAAACTATCGGCGAAACATTAATTGCGGAAACTTATGTAATTGCGCTGATTAAAGTTCCTACTCGGAGTCTCGTCACTCCCGAGGTTTGACGTTTTCGCAAACGAGGCGAGCGAGGTGTGAGGGATGTTCGGGGACACGCGCGAGAAGATTCCGAGAAACGTCTTCGCGAGAAGAGGAGGATTTTAAAATTTCAAGACTCTCTCTCGAGAGAGAGAGAGAATTCACGCGCGCGAAAGAGAAAGAGGAGAGATTCGCGTCACCGGAAGTTATATCACGGTGGGAATTCTCGTCGCGTCGTAAAACTATCGTTACGACCACGTTTCTCTCTCGTCTCATCCGGGACGCGGGAAGATTGGCGCTTTTTTTTCTTCTTCCACACGATCCCGTCGTATATCGTTATGTGGGTCACCCCCGGGGGTCAAAGGGGGATTTTTATGAACACGAATCGCGTCACGTTTATTACCGAGACGTTATCCCGCGGGACCAGGGCAGAGATGTACAAGGTGTTTCACGTAGATAAGGTGCGGACCGGTATATTCCTCTTAAAAAAAATACCCTTTTTCTTTTGGCAACATTTCCAGAGATGCATCGCTTCCCAGATATTTTTCATATTATGAAAAATATTTTTTTTTTTTTTTCTAAACTTTTGCGATTTATAGTGCTGAGTAATTTAATAAGATAGAGAGAGAACATATTTTTTCGTTAAAAATTATATGCTAGCCCTTCGTCGAAAAATATATATACTTTACTGATTAAGAGAATTTAAAATAAAATGTTGTCGAGTACTTTATAATTATTTAAAAATCACTATAATTTATATATAATTATATATATATATTATATTTTAATTATTTATACAAGTGTATTTTATTACAATGTAAATGTCAGACTTTATTATAACAGAATTACCAAAAGCATTTAGCACAATGGAAAAAGATGCTCATTTTTGACAAGAAATATGATAATATTTATCTATACATATTCTATCTACATGAAACACCTTTTTTATATCGGATGCAGATATGTACTTGGACAGAGAGTGATCGAATTCAAGAATCTGAAATGTCAGACTTCTGTAATTTCGTCTCGAGTCTCACTGGACCCGCAGAGCTCCTCTTGCAATATAACGAGATTTGCGTTGAAATATCTTTGAAAAAAAATCTGTTCCCTTATCGATATGCGCCCGAAACCGTTCAGAGAGGGAATCAGTTTTCGCCCGATCGGAGAATATCAAGTTTTCAAATCGATAGGTATATAAAATAAATCGCGTTTCTGCTTCGTAAATATCGCATATCTAATCTGACACGTGACAGTGTTACGTTAACCCGATATATCCGCGATTGAAATCAATCTCAACACCGTTTGCATTGTTGCGTTATCGATCGATAATATCTAGCGACCAGGTGACAAGCATTTTCGCTCTTATCGCGCCTTCGCAGAGATTTCAGTCCCCGATTGAGTGATAGATATCGAAATTCGCGTGCAAGATTAAGGATCTGTCTAACGAAGTGGGAATTATTTCCCCTCGTTGGCCGCAATGTGCACCGATGCACATCCGATTTGTACTCAATACAGCCGACGGAGATGAGGGCGACGTCGCGTGAAATTGCTATTGGCCCCCTTTCCGAATAACAGACAGACTCGGCATTTTCGCGATCTATCTCCGCATCTGTCACGTGTATATGTGCGTGTATATCTATATATATTTTATATATATATATATATATATATATATATATATATATACGCAAAAATTGGCAATAGGATGCGAAATTCAATCTACACGAAAAAAATTTGACAGCTCGCAGGTTTTCAGATTTCCTAATCTATAGATTATATATATAAATAATATATATAATATAATATATATTATTAGGAATATAATATAATAATATATATATATATATTATATTATAGATTATATAATATATTGTATAATATATAATATATTATATTATAGTATACATTATATATAATATAATATGTAATATATATAATTATATAATATATAATATAATATATTATATAAATTAAAATATATTAATATATATTATTATATTATATTATTAATTTATTTCCTCCTCGTGCGCGCGAGAAAAAATAATGGGAAGAGAGAGAGACGCGATGTTGTATATTTATTTATTTTTTTTCACTCCGACCGGGGAGCTAAAAGCTCGGATTTTTCGACGAAAATTAATTAAAACAATGATAATCGCCGCGCCTCTTCAATCGCCGAATTCACCAGCGTCAGCTGGAATATTTCCAGGAAGGTTCACTCGCTATTGATTTTTGTTTCCGCTTTTGTCGTCGGTAAAAACTCCCGGTGGACGTCGAAACTTTTGAAATCCTCGTTCCGATATATCTCGTTCGACTTTTTTCCCTCCCGCGAATCGCCATCAATCACGCGCGCAATTGTCCAAAAAATAAGAGACTCGAAATTGAAGGACACTTTCCGCTTTCGGAATTTTTATTTCTTCCTTTTTATTATAACAAAAATTATCTCTCGCTTGTCCTTGATTGAATCCTGATGAAGAGAGGCCGGATTCCACCGAGATTTCCGGGGTCCCCTTGGGCCCACAACCTAGCTAAGCTAACTTAGCTGTACAACATCGTTATACAACGTAAGTAGACATGTAAAAAAAAAAAAAGAGAGAGAGAGAGATAGAGAGGGAGAGAGAGAGGAGAGTACTCGCTAGTTCGCAGTAAGAGATAAGAAAAAAAATGTTATTACATAAGACAAATGGCAAATTAAAAAAGAAGTTATAGAACGATTTATCAAGAAGTCTGTACAAAGGACTCTAAACGATTAAAATAAAATCCGACGTCGTCCACGACATAAACTCGAGCTTCGACGGACCCGAGGATCGTCGAGATCGATCGAACATTATAGCGAAAGTGAGAGAATATTGTATGTGTGTGTATATGTATGTATGTATATGTGCGAGAGAAAGAAAGAGAGAGAGAAAGAAAGAAGAAGCTAAAATATATCAATTGAAAAAAATGATAAAAAAAATATTAAAAAAATAAAAGGGATAAGAAAGAGATCGCCTTGATTGTGGCTCTGTGTGCGTAATTTAAGATGTATAATAATACTAAGACGAAGGGATTCTATTTCGCCGGTTCTCCACACACGAAATATCGAAATAACTCATTAGGCGTCATTTTTACTCGTCTTTTGTCTTACAAAGAATTAAAAAAAAAACTATATATATATATATATTGTATATGTATATGCGCTGCGGAGACCACACACGTTATTATTGAGAGACGCGGAGAAATATCGATATATCACGCTAATAATAATAATATAATAATAATAAATAATAATGTTAAAAATAAAAAATTACACGATAGCGATAATAAGACGAGATGATATCAACAATGATAACAACGGTGGAAAGCGACGATAATGAGATGGTGATAAAATATAATAATTATTATAATAATAAATGTAAATCTAACGATGAGAGATAATGTTAACGATAATTTTAATGAATAAAAAGTAGCGCGATAAAAAAACGGTACTATATATAAGTATAATAGTGACGAGAAATTATAAATAAATCAAACAATCGATTTCGAGGTCGAAGGGACAAGTGTCTGAGAAAAAGAGGGACTCGAAATCGATCTTCGAAGAGTTTTTCGCGTCGATACCTCCGAAATTTTCCATCTCGGTATCGTCGTGTTAAAGTTGCACAAATATATATCGGCGAAAAAAAGGGAGATAAAATTTAATATATTATACATATTATAAAATATATATATATATCATTTTCATGCGATATTCTGAATTAAAATCCGGATATCCGGATTTGTAATCGCTGAGGAATCAAAAAAATCGAGCAATTTTCCATTCGAAATTTTAGAAAATTGAAAACGGAAGAATCTTTGCGAAACAATAGGTCAAACGCTCTTGTACGAAGCTATAAAATATTTATCCGAAAGGATCGGATATCCCTCGTCGCGAGGGGCCGCAAATATCCAGTTAATTTAATATCCGGAAACTATAATTACTATCCCGACATATCCGGATTATATCGGAATCTAATATCCGAAGACACAGATTTATCCGGAAAATCCGCGAATAAATTAACTCGGATAATTAATAAATCAACAATTCGGATCTTTATGTACTATTTATTTCGCTAATAACATTATGGGCAAATCGGACAGAAGAGTCGGATTGCAGAGCACGGTGTCGAGAATTTTGTCGAAATTAATAAATAACGATGCGAAAAGAAAAAGAAATAAATATATGAAAATAAAATAGAAAGGAGAAACGCTCTCTCTGTATTTATTTTCGCGTATATAAGTCGCGTCATATAGTGTGAGGTCAGAATATCAGCAAATTCGTATTTAGCGTTCTAGGCATCATATGAGGATTCGCGTCGATGTTGTATGTGTTATATATGTGTGTGAGTGTCTTGTCTGTGCGTTCTCTCTCTCTTGCGTTGTCTATGCGTGTGCGTATCAACGGCACCAATTATAAAACAAATAAGGCAACGATGTATTTTTCAGATTATAATCAGTTTTCAATCGTTTATTTTTTCTAATCGACGATAAGCCTTTGAAAAATCTCGTTGTGATAATTTAATCCGTGTAATTTTGTTTATTTAACATTATATATACAAATTATATATGTATTAATGCATATTATATATTTAATTTATATATTTATATATATATATTTAATATATATATATAATATCTTTTATGTATAATTTATATAAAATATATACAACAGATATTTACAATATAATATATATAATATTCTCTATTATATAATTATATAATAAATATAATATATTCTATATATATACATTAAATGTATAATAGCTATAACTGTGGGATGTTAAATAAACTCAAAATTACGTCGTTTCTTATTATATAAAATCTCTATATAAAAATTCGACATAAATAATATCCGCAAAGTGGTTTCTTCGGTAAGAAAGAGACCAATTCAAAAGTTTTCCTTTTAAAGTTGGCTACAGAGAATATTTTTCATGCGGTGCCGTCGAACGTGCGCGTGTCGAGCGACACGACAGATAAATCGCAACTTTCCGAAAAGAAAGTATAAGAACAACAAACGGAACGAGACGAACTTTGAGCGAAAAGTTTAATATATCGGAAATAGCGATTATCGCTATCGAAGTTCGAAGTGTCGAAGCGATCCAATTTTAAGATATATACATATAAGTGCGATATATACATATATATATATATATAAATATACATATATACATATATGTATATATATAAGTCAGTTGTCGTATAAGAAGCTACCTCTTTTCCGAGTATAAAAAAAACAAATCTCGCTGCTTGTATAAATTTCTTAATCTTACGATATAAAATAAATCTTGCGTAGCGAGAGGGATGAAGAAGACGAAGAAGGGTCAACAACAGACGAGAGAGAAGGAAAAAGCGAACAGACGCGAGAAAAACGACGCGGACAATCCACATCTTTGTTTCTATTCGCAAAAAGAGAAGAAAAAAGTAAAAAAAAAAAAAAAAAAAACAATTAAGCGAACAGACGTGGCGCGCGAGAGGACCAAGTCCTCTTCTTCTCGGACTTTCTTAAGCCCCGAGAAGAAATATAGTTCATCGAGGATCGTGTGGTCGTTTCGACAAATAGACGGATAAATCTCTCTATATAAATATATACAGAGTGCATCTAAATAAGTGCGAAAAATTTAGCTGATTTTTTTTCTCGAAAATTAAGAGAGGTTTCTTATATATAAACATATACTCTTATATATCCTTCCCTGAGGAATTACACTTTTCTAAAGAGGGAATTCTTGCTTAATAACGTATTTTATTTTTTTTTCTTAAAAACTATTGATTTTACGAAAAAAGTAAAAGATATAAAAAAGTTTCTAAAGTAATCAAACTTTCTAACCCATATTTTTAGATGATCGTATTCCGGTCCGTTAAAAAGTTGTTGGCTTCATCCCCTTATAACAAATAGGAAGATCAAAAATAAATATTAATAAAAATATAAATATCCTTTTTATTAGTGGAAAATATCCACCAAGTTTCATTATTTTAATTTGTCTGAAATTACGTAAAAAGCTCTTCAGGAAGGATATAAGAATACATGTTTATATAAGAAACCCCCCTTATAATTTTCGACAAAGAATCACCTCCTAAAATTTTTCGCACTTATTTAGATATGCCTTGTATATATAATATAATATATATTATATTAATATAATATAATATATATATTATATTATATATATATAATATATATTATAGAGGCAGAATCGCCCCTTTTTTCTCTCTCTGTTTTCCAAGTGCTTCGAGAAAAGGATTGAGCCGGTCCAGATGAGGATGAAGGCTCTCGGGAAAGAGAAGTCTCGCTTTCTTGTCGTCGATGGGACTCGCAGCGCGTTGCTGAAGAAAAGTAGCCCGCAGGCCTAAATACGCTCTAATTAATTCAAACTGAAACAAAAGAGGGGAACGATTATAACTAAATGAACTAATGAAAGGAAAGAATAACGACAAATCGTTGTCTCTCTATCAGCTGTCGGCGGCCGGTCGCGCTTCGATAAAACGCCCCCTCTCGTCAGAGAAAGGCGATGCGGCTCCTCGGGGGTGCGTCTTATCGAGGATCGGATCCAGCGACGTGCAACCATCGCGTGCAACCGCCCGCTTAAAGATACCTCTTACTTACTCGCAAATTCGCCAAAGAGAATGAAAAAACGAAAAAAAATAACTAACTCAAAAAATTGAGATAAGTCTCTTTACATCCTCTAATATCTCGATAATAGGAAAAGTATAATTTATATTATATCTACTTTACGACAATCTATATATTTATATTTCATTATAACACGAACACACACACACACACAAACACACATACACACATATATATTCTCTTGTCATCTACTTTATATTATAATAATCTATTCATTATTATCTCGCGAGTAGGTGACGCAATAAAATAAGAAAGAAATTCGACTTTAAACGCTTCACGTAAAAATATATCTAATATCTAATTGCCTGTCGATCGGAATATAGAGCTTCTATATATACATATACATATATTGATCAAAATCGAGCGACGAAAAAAAAAAATAAAAGATAACGCTGATGTTGAACTACTATCTCCCGCGATAATAAGTATTTGTAGGTCTTTTGAAAAAAAGAAAAGAAAAAAAAACCGAGACTCTCGCTCGCCGTTGCACGCGGTTGGGTTGCGACGAGGATGATGAGTCTCTCTTGGTCGCGGCGAACGACCGATCACCTAACTTTAACATAATTATTAATAATTACTTATACATATATAAATATATTTAAATATAAAATTAATGATAATGAAAAAAGAGAGAGACACGTATATATACAGAGCGCCCGTTTTGCGGTGGATTAAAAAAAAATGAGAATTTTTCGCTGGTAAGATAGACACTCCGTATATATGTATATCTTGTGTGTATACTTCTATATACGAGATTTTTTGGAATAAGAACGATCTCTCTGAAAAAGAAAAAAAAATGACTGTTCGGCGACTCGGAATCTTGGGGACGAGAGGGTCCAGAGGGCGAGAAAGAGAGGAAAGAATTGAATAGATTGTACAGATTTATCAGAGATTTATCTCTCCGAGTCGCGGAACATATATAATATATATATAAATACTGATCGTTCCCGTTTCGAAAGGTATATATGTATGTATATTAAACATATGATTATTATAATCAAGTAGATTACGTACGTATTATACGAACGACAAAATCTATCGCTTGTATATACTGAGAATATCATAATAAAATGATGTACGAACGACAGTGCGAGATCAGTCAGTCTGTCTATCTCTCTCTCTCTTTCTCTCTCTTTCTCAAAGATCGAATTCTTCCACTCCGACTCTCTATTTTTTTTTCATTCCTCACTATTAACTATTTAAAGTTAAGACAGATAACAAGAAGATGTTCCTTCGACGGTGTTGAAAAATTTTATTTCTATTCGTTCAGACACAGTTAATTGGAGTTTACAAAAATTGCATCTGGTAAAAAATAAAACATGAAAATCGACGTAGAATCTATAATTGTAAAATCGTTGCAAAAGTCGGACGACTATGCTATGTATATTATATATTATCGCAGGAATGATAAACGAAATTGACTTGTCGCAATTTTGCTCGACAGATTTGACACATTATATTAAATACAATGATTTATAAGATCGTTCTCAATTGCATCGGCGAATAACAACAATTGTCCCGTTTCTCTCTTCGTTCCAAGCAGAGAGATAAGAATCTCGAGTATACCTTGTTAAAAAAATCACCTTTATCCAAGATCTCACGAGGAAATCACGCCTGAGATTAATGGCATCTTGTTTTTCGCGACTTATTGTCGATGACACGCCGATTAGATTGCACGGTGAAAAAAATGGCTTCTTACTTACGAGCAAAATGCTAACGAGAGAGCTAAATGCGAGGGAGGAAGCGAGTCGCCGAAGCAACGCGACCCCTTCCTACGTCAGCCTATACGCGACTATTAGGAATCTCGTCGCGAATACTCGTGCAGCAACAGACAGATTTGGCGATTTCCGTCCATTTCCGTCGAAAACGTATCCTTAGGGCAAATACAGACGGATTACGTCCTAAAAGCGCCGGCCTTGGCCGCTTTAATGATAAAGGTTTTTACCGTGTTCTCGTCCAGCTTCGCGAAATTCTCCGTCTGCGTCACGGCTGTCATGTGGTTCAAGGCGAACTTGAAGCAAAACTCCTCGAGTTCCTGGAAAAATCACATTTTATTTCAATATCTCTCATGTCATTTTATTTAAATATATATTAATATAAAATATAATATATATATATATTGTGTATATTAATATTTATTTAAATAAATATAAATATATTAATATAGATTTAATATATATATATATATATATTTATTTATATTTATTTAATATTTATTTAATATATATTTTAAAATTTTAAATATATATATTATATATTAATCCCTAATTTATATGGCAAAAAATTAAGTCTCCTGAGTGCTTGTCATGTTAGATAGTGACGTCAGAAGCGAGCTAAAAATTCTTAGAAGCCATTTTCAATGAAAAGATGATGTTTCTAATTTCTGGTTTTATCACACTTTTATATGTTCTTTTCCTTTGACAATCAACAATCATAAAATAATTGTACAGTCATTTTACAGCTGTGGATTAATTGTAAAAGAAAAAGGATATCAAAATTATCTTTTTCCAAATGGCATCTATGAATTTTTAGCGCGTTTCTCTGACATGGTCACAATTCCAACATGGTCTTCCTCTTAAAATTAATTCTACCTTGGCATTGTACTCGATCGCGACGCTGTACAAATAGGCCGCATTTGATATGGTGATTCCTTGCTTTATCATCTGAATGCAATGTCTCTTGAGATTATTTTCGCAGTACGCGTTAGCCAAATCCAGGAGCTCTGTAATGAAGTGTTTAGCTTTAATCGTAAGGTGATGTGTGAATCCTGGGGCGTGCTTATGGCTCGAACTTACCTAACGCCTTCTCCGCAGGCAAATCGATCATGTCGGTGTACAGGTACTTCAGAAAGGCTTTATACACGACGTAGGAAAATTGATCGTGCTCGATGATACTGTCGGGAAGAGCACGCGATGCGATATAATAAAGCTTGAGAAGTTTCTTTATAGGAGGAACAACGTCGCCGAGTCTCTTTATAAGTCAATGATTACCTCTGATTGTTTTCCGCCCAGTTATGCTGGAACATGGTCCTGAAGTATGGAGAACGGATCTTCAGGATAGCCTTGTGGACGTGAATCGAGTGTCCGTTCACCTGTATTGTCAGATCGCTCGTCGACTGTGGGAGGAAAACAAATTGTTAGAAACAAATAAAATAATATTAGATTAATGCGCCTAAGAAACATTTGTCATGTATTTGTCGATTAAAATATATGAACAAAATATATCTCTACGCAATTTTAAAGAAATTTTCACATCAAAAGGTGCGTGTATATATGTGCTCTCTCATCTGTATCTTTTTCCATCTAGAAAGAAATTTTTCCTCCTTTACGTCAGAATCAGTCACTCTATTTAGAGTAGAATTCAATAAAGAAATGCACGCGTGCAATAAATCTTATATACATAATAACTAGAATTGTTATCATATTACATATCATGTATGTAAACATCAGTGATAAAACTATATATGTATATATGTATTTAATATAACACTATGTATATATATTACTAATGAGAAAAACGATGTTGTCAGCTGTTAGATCTTTCCTTCTCTCTTTCTAAAGTCTCTCGTTACAACTAATTTAATGCTCATCAGTCGTTAAGTTGACGTACGGAATCGTCGAACGCGGATCCCAGACATTCCAATATGCTCGAATCCTCGTTCGCGTGCAAAATCAGTGGTTTATGCATGACACTGGGCGATCCGTAACACGCGAGTGCATCGTGTATGTTCGAGAATGGGGTGGCGGTCGGGGTCGTGATGCTCTGTCCTCGACAGTGACCCCACATGTAGACCCGTCCGCCTAGGCCGACGGCGACGCTTATGTGATTGTAGTGCAGGGCGGCGATATCGGACACCCTTCCCATCTCGTGGCTGACCTGGTCATACAACTATCAATATAAGATTCTTCTAGTTTCCTCTTTTTCTTCCATTTGCTACGATTAACAAACGATGAAGCCTACCAAGACTGGATTGCAGGCGTTTGTCTTGTTACCAATTCCTAATTGACCGTAACTATTCCCACCCCAGACGTAGAGCTTCCCCTCGTCCGTCAGCGCCAACGTGTGCGCGTATCCGCAGACCACTTTGACTGAAATTTCAAGTCAACGTCAAGTGCTTGCGTCTCTTGCTTGAGGAATCAATTAAAGGATGAACGGATAAATCACCTATTACGATGCCTATCAGCGAGCCGACTCGACTAGGAGTCATCTGATTCACGTAATTGCCTATTCCCAGCTGGCCAACACCTTGTAGCCCCAACCGTACACCTCACCGTTGTCTGTTACCACCATACTGGAGGTTTGACCGCAGGAGATGTGGACGACCTTCTTCCCGGCCAGGTTGGAGTTCACTTGTCGCGGGGCGCCCTGATTCGTACTGATACTGCTACCCACTTGTCCGCAATTATTTTGCCCCCAGGCATACACCTGGATTCAAGTAAAAGTAGTCGTTAGATTTGTGACTACCGTAAATTGTACTTGTCATCGTACTCTGATCACGACTCACCTCCCCGTCTTCGGTGAGAACGATGGAATGATGGCTCCCACACGCAATATCCACAATGCGCTTCATATTCAAACCTGCTCCTAGAGTAGGCATGTTTACTAGAGTGGGTGTGAGGCCTTGATTGCACGTTCCGTTTCCTAATTCGCAGTAGCCATTGTGACCCCAGGAATATACCTTTCCAAAATAATAATTTTACTAATATTGATGTCTCTCACATTCTTTACACATGTATTTAGTTTAATGGCTTTAAAATTCTTGGGAATATTTTATAAAATTGCTGTACATGTTGACAAGCATGTTTTTCTAATAAAATATTTTGTTCATAAAATATATTATATATAAAATAAATATATAGTCATATAATTGTATTGCAAATGTGCAAAGTAAATACATGTATATTAATAGTACGCTTTGCTTTTAAACTTGTCTATGTAAAAAGTTTCATTGAATTTATATATATAACTCGCACTGTATTCAACATAAGTATACCTCTCCCTTCTCTGTGAGAGCCAAAACGTGAGGTCCACTGCCATAGGCAAACATCTTTATATCTTTGTCGCACAAGACTTCTATCTTCTTTGGATGCAAAGTGCTGTGAGCATCGCTGGTTCCCAAACAACCAGCAATGTTGTTGCCTAAGCCGTACACCATCTTATCTTTTGTCACAATTAAAGCTTCATTTCCCAAGTTACCTGTTTCGGAAGGTAATAAAACGTCAAATAATAATAACGTCAATGCAGAGGGATGTGTAGGAAAAAGTAACAATTACCATAAACTACCACCATGTGAATTCGAGAGACGAATTCTGGCTCCAGTAAGCTGAAGATTGGCCAGTTTCGAAGATCCAGGGAATTCATATTGCGTGTAAAATTATTTCATAAACAAAATGTCCCTCTCAGTCTCTCTTCTTCAGTATCTCTGATTGTAAAAAAAGATTTTATGATTTTTCATGACTTAATTTATAAGAATTTAACTTAATAAAAATAAAAAAACAGTTTAAAATATAAATAAATATATTTATAATTTAAAAAATATAAAATTTATAAAAACTCTGAGATTGATTTTTCCGTATTATTTAGAAAAAGAAAAAATGTTTTCTAATGGAGGAAAAAAAAATATAATCTTATCGACCTTTGACAGATTTTATTATTCCTGTTACGCGCTCACCGATAACGTTTGACATATTAATTTTATCCCACGTACGTCGCTTTTCATTCTGCTATAATTTATGTGCATCCGTAATTATTTCCCACTTCGCGTCTCTACACAACAATTAATTACATTCATCAATTTTCACAACATATTCATCATTATACGTCCCCAGGTCCGCTTCATCCTTTGTTAGATTTCCGTCTGCTTCGATGACAGCCTCGAATATACACACATGTCAATATATAGATCAACCGCGAATTGATCTTGAAAGCTCGGCGTCAATGAAAACGCGAAAGAATCTAGACGGGAAACCTCCATAAAAACTCCGAACGTTATCGATCGTCCCCCATCGAAATACCGGAGCCAATGAGAAACGTCAAAAAATTCCCTAGGCCGAAAAATCCAGTTTCCCGCCAATCAGAATCCGTCCTCCAACAATTCCACCTTCTCTCTACGTCTCTTCGACAGTTCGTGGCTCACAAAGAAGAATCGACCCCCTCCACCACCTGGACTGTCACGGCGTCGATCGCCGAGGTGAATCCGGGTGACAGTTCCAGAAGAAGAGGATTTGTGCGCCCGCGGCCTCCTGGTGGACCGTCAACGAGGACCCTCTCCGAGGCAAGCAAGGAAGAAAGAGAGAGAAAAGAAGAAGATCCCGATACGCGACGACGACGTGTGCACGCATGCACGATGACGGGGTGAGGGAGTGAAGGGATGAGAGGAGCGGCGACGGCGGCGTCGCGGGTCAACGTGAGCCGCCGCGATAGTGACACCTCTTGACGTTTCTCCGGCGCCCAGCCAATCGGCGATGCCGATCCCCCTCGGCCGCTCACGTCACTCGCCGCGACGGCCCGATCGCCGATCGGCGCCCCTCGTCATCGCCATCCCCGCGGATGATCCTGATCCTCGGCGGCGGCGAGCGTTCTCGCGTGCGGAGCGGTCTCCCGGATCGTTCCTGAGGGCACCGCACAGGTACTCGACACGTTGCGCTCTTCGGTAACTGTTGGTGTGTGTGTGTGTGCGTGTGTGTGTATGTCAAGATCGTTGTATTAATAACGCTCCTCCGCTTGCTTGCAGAAAATAGATTTTTATAAAAAAATATTCTATGGGTTTTTAGGAAAAAATGGAAAGTCACTTGTGCAGGGTGATCTGTGACAAAAAACGGGTTCAGAAGGGGATTTTAAGTAAAAAATGACATATGAATGTATAGATCCTATTTCAGTTAGACTGGTGGATCAAGGTTTTGTTAAAAAATGCTGCGATAGGCTTGCAGAGCTGGAAAAGCAAAATATGTTCTATTTATAAATTAACAATTGTACAAACATGATGATTACTCTGTATAATTGACATAATAGTAATTAATCATGATTGTATTAATAACGCTGTCCACTTGGTTGCAGAAAATAGATTTTTGTGACAAAAACAGGGGTTCAGAAAGGGATTTTAAGTAAAAAATATCATATGAATGTAGATCCCATTTTAGTTAGACTGTGGTGGATCAAGGTTTTGTTAAAAAATACTGCAATAGGCTTGCAGAGCTGGAAAAGCAAAATATGTTCTATTTATAAATTAACAATTGTACAAACATGATGATTACCCTGTATAATTGACATAATAGTAATTAATCATGATTGTATTAATAACGCTGTCCACTTGGTTGCAGAAAATAGATTTTTGTGACAAAAACAGGGGTTCAGAAAGGGATTTTAAGTAAAAAATATCATATGAATGTAGATCCCATTTTAGTTAGACTGTGGTGGATCAAGGTTTTGTTAAAAATGCTGCGATAGGCTTGCAGAGCTGGAAAAGCAAAATATGTTCTATTTATAAATTAACAATTGTACAAACATGATGATTACCCTGTATAATTGACATAATAGTAGTTAATCATGATTGTATTAATAACGCTGTCCACTTGGTTGTGGAAAATAGATTTTTATAAAAAAACATTCTATAGATTTTTAGAAAAAATGGAAAGTCACTTGTACAGGGTAATCTGCGACAAAAATCAGAGAGTTTGAAGGACATTTTAAGTAAAAAATGTCATGAATGTAGATCCCATTTTAGTTAGTTGGACTGTGGTGGATCAAGGTTTTGTTAAAATGCTGCGATAGTAGATTTGAATATCTAGTTATAATTTGAAAAGCAAAATATGTTCTATTTATAAATTAATGAACAATTATTGGAAAATAATGATCTTACATAAAAGTTTTTACTTGTTGATTGTCCTGTATAGTTGGCAATAATAATTAATCATGATGAATAGTATAAATAAGTGATATTATTAATGTATGTGATTTCATTCCGTAGCAGTACGCACATGAGATGGGTAGCAGCGCTTGGTGGCAGTGTGCCGCGTGTCTGAGAACCCAGGAAGAGGACATTTGCGAGCTGCAATTAAACCACTGTAATCTCTATGATGTACCACCCGATGTGTTCATTTATGAAAGAACATTGGAAAAGTTGTATCTCGATGCCAATAGAGTGAGTAACTTCATCGATTAGAAAGCGAATACATTTTAATTACAACTGTATCTAATGTGTGTCTCTTTTTTCGATTTTAGATAAAAGATCTTCCCAGACCGTTGTTCCAGTGCCACGAGTTGAGAGTTCTCTCACTTAGCGATAATGAGATTACTACGTTACCACCCGCCATAGCGTCATTAATCAACTTAGAACACCTGGACCTCAGTAAAAACAGTCAGTACATTTTCATTGACAAGTACATGTAAAACGTTACATTTAAGAAAAACTCAATTTTACACGCTTGTGTTAATCCACATTTTTGTTTAGATTTGACATTAGATCTTTTGCTTAAATTCGATTTTTATTCTGTTGATTTCATGTATATTTTTCTTGCAGGTATAAAGGACTTACCAGACAGTATCAAAGAATGCAAGAGTCTTCGCTCCATAGATATCAGTGTCAACCCCTTCGACCGTTTCCCGGACGCTATAACGCATATCGTTGGTTTGCGCGAGCTCTACTTAAACGACGCGTATATAGAATACCTGCCGGCTAACTTTGGACGACTGTCAGCCTTGAGGACGCTCGAGTTGCGGGAGAACAACATGATGACGTTGCCTAAGAGTATGAGCCGTCTTGTCAACTTGCAGAGGCTCGATATCGGCAACAATGACTTCACAGAGCTGGTGAGACCTGTTGCTCTTCACCTGAAATTCTACTTGTTCGCTCTTTTTTTTTTATATGCAAATGTCTCGAAATCGCTGAATGTTAAAGTAAGCTTGAAAAGAAAAAAATAATTTCATTTTGCTTAAGATTTTTCAATTATGGCTTCCCCAGAGAAAGTTTAACTTGCACAAAATAAAATGACATGAAAACAATGTGAAATACTATCTAAAAATTGTAATGCATATACTGTTTGCGACAGCCTGAGGTCGTCGGGGATCTCATAAATCTGACGGAGCTGTGGATTGACGGCAACGACATCAGGCGTGTCCCGGCGAACGTCGAGCAGCTCTACCGCTTGAATCACTTCGACTGCACGATGAACGCCCTGCACGGCCTCCCGATGGAGGTGCGCGGCTGGCGCGACATCGCGATCATGAATCTGTCGTCGAACGAGATGTACGAGCTGCCCGACACGATGTGCTACCTGCGCACGATCGTCACCCTGAAGATCGACGACAATCAATTGAACGCACTGCCGAACGACATCGGCCAGATGTCGAGCTTAGAGGAGCTTATAATTACTAAGAACTTTCTCGAGTACTTGCCGTCTTCGATAGGCTTGCTGCGCAAGCTGCACTGTCTCAACGCGGACAATAATTATCTGCGCGCGTTGCCGGCCGAGATCGGTAGCTGCACGGCGTTGTCCCTGCTATCCCTGCGTTCGAACAATCTGACTCGAGTGCCGCCCGAGCTCGGCCATCTGTCCTCGTTGAGGGTGCTCAATCTCGTCAACAACTGCATCAAGTTTCTACCGGTCTCCATGCTCAACCTGAGCAATCTGAAGGCGCTGTGGCTGAGCGACAATCAGAGTCAGCCGTTGGTGCCGCTGCAGCAGGAGTTCAACTGCGAGGAGGACATGATGGTGCTGAGCTGCTTCATGCTGCCCCAGAAACCGCGGCAGGATCTGGAGCGTGAGTATCCTGTCGTTTCCGCAGGAGATTGAGATACAAGTTAACATCTTGATTTATAATTAGCATAGATTGTTCACAACATTTCGCTCTTATTGGAAAAATTGATTTAAATATCTTTTCAGTGACTTATAAAAAGATTATTGATTTCCTTTTTTTATATATATGTGTGTCGCTTTACTTGTTAGTGTCTATATTTAAACTAATCAAAATTGCCTCGTTGCCGGCCTCTCTTTACATCATTGCACGCTTTTTTCGTATACATGTATATTTATTTAACGACAAGATGCAATATATTTATGTGCACGCTACTAGTGGAAGAAGAAGAACACGAAGAGCACGAAGACGAGGAATGAAATGGTGAGAGAGATATATCAAGGAATCTATATCAAATGTCAAGAGATATCTTGGATTGCGACGAAAATAACCAGCAAAAATTATTGATGATAATTCCCGAATATTAATCCTGTCTTTAATAATGTATTTCATCATTCATAGAAATGGCGCAGACCGCAGGACCGATTTCGAGTTCAATCATCGGAACCGGCAAGAGGATATGTTTCGCTGCTGAGGTAGATTCCGAAGTCCCCAGGCAACTTCATCGAGCACCAACCCCTTACCCCAAGGAGCTACGCAACCTTGCTAGGCACGCTCGTAATCTGCATCATCAGTCCATTCACGATCAAAGAGTGAGTTGCCCATCATTTTTTCATCACGATGCATGACAATATTTCTTCGATGAACATAATCAAGTCTTCGTTTAGCTATAAACATTTATTGTATTATCAGTAATATGATACGTGTAGTAGTCACATCATATAATAAAAACAATTTAAATAGTTGCTAATATTCTAATATTAGAAATTCTTCTATTATTAATATTATTAATATTATATTATATTATTATTATACTATATTATTTATTTATTTATTATTATTATTTTTCTATTATTAATATTCTACTATTGTTCCAACAGAGCACGCCTTCATCTACAACCTCTACCGATCGTAACACGGCGAAGAACTACAACAAGAGCAACAGACCGGTGGAACCCGGAGCGACGGAGCATTCGGTGTCGGAGGAATCGTCTGACGAAGCGAACAAGACGGTGCTGGCGAAAGAGAAGAGTCCGGATATCCGGGAGGCCAAGTACATCCGCAATCCCACGTCCGATTACGTCGCGAAAACGCCAACGGTATCCGACTACGTCAACTCCACGTGGAAACCAGACGAGTACTCCAAGGCGAACACGGCTAAGATAGTCGAGTCCGACAAGTTTATCGAGCCATACAGGACGGCGATGTCGGGCGACGCGACGGACGGCAAGTTCAGCGAGCAACAGACGGCGCGGGTGAACGTCGTCCCAAAACCCTGCGACGTTCCACCAGCTCCGCCGCCGTATCACATCGCGGCAGCCTTCTCCAAGAAGGCCGCTCTCTTCCAGCAATTTAATAATCGTAGGTCATTGTTAGAGCTTACAGATTCTTTATTCTTTTTTACTATATTTTTTTATATGTTTAATATTTATTTTTTTATTTATATATTTTTTATATTTATATTTATATTTTTATTTATATTTTTCATTTATATTTTTATTTTTCTTAACACTTCTGTCAATGAATAGGTATCCAGAGCAACTTGAAAAAATGATTTTTTTTAATAGAAAATTATTGTAAATAATTTGAATAATTCAAAATGTATTTTTAACTAAGAAATGTAAAATTATAATATTATACAGTTATATAATATATTTAACTGCAGAATATAAAATATATAATATTATATATACAAAATTATTATATATTTTTGACTGTAAAAATTTTTTGGAAAGCTTGAAGAAATTATTTTTAATTATATAATATTATATAATATAATTATATAATAATATATATTTAACTGTATAATAATAGTATATATATATTACACAGTTATATATTATTTGTACATAATTATTATATATTTTTAACTGTAGCAAAACTCTAGAAAGAAGTAAGTTTTGTAATACGAATCTGAATTTTTCCAGCGATCGAGGCGGACCCGCATTTGGCCCCACTTTCGTTATCTTTTAACTCGTCGCCAAATTCGCCCGGGGTGTTTCCGGACGTCTCGAAACAGAAGAACTTGGACGCGAACTCGGTGAAGGCCGAGGAATGTGTGGCACCGGCTGATCCGGCGAGCCTCGTCGATTCTAGCTCGACGAACAACGGACGGACGGATCCTCTCGATCGAACTTGCACGCCGAATCTGGATTCCGGCGGCGATTCCGAGCAGAACGACCGCGCCTTGAAACCGAGCAAGATCCCGGTTCTCAAGAGCAAGCACGCGGAAAATTCGAGTAACGAGGCGAACTCGATCAAGGCTCTCCCGGAGGAACACGACGGGACGAATAGGACCTTGAATACGGTTTACTCTAGCATACCCACGTCGCCGATCACGGGGAAGAAATATCGGAGCCCCTTATCAGTGCTCGATCGCTCGAGGAAGCTGCAGAACGGGAACGTCGCCAACCACAATTCGTGCGACAACGTCAACTCGTCGGCCGAGTTGACGTCGAACGTTGTCAGTCCCGTTCAAACGAGCAGAAGCGTCGCCGACGAATCCGGCGTCGCGTCTCCCGCTAAGAGCGACTCCTCGGGCCGAGAGACGCCGAGCAATACGGGTAGTAAATCTCAGGGCGACGCGAGCAACGTCGAGATCTTTAAGGAACACGAGAGTTCTGCGTCGAGTGAGACGTCCGGGTCGGAGAGGAAGCCCAAGTTCAATTGGATGTTTGGTCTTCACAAAAACGCGAATGTGGTATGTACTCTGGGATTAGTTTTCTCTGTTAAGAATTATTTTTCCAACTTTCAATCATTTTTTTACAAATAAAAATCTATAATCATTAGCTATATATTCTATATTTTTTATATAATATAGTCTATTTTTTATATATTGTATAATTAAAATATGTAATAAATTTTATATATGTATGTATTATAATTATATTTTAATTATATTTTTTTACAGTTTATGTATGTATGTATGTAATTATGTTTTATTCTGCAGTTAAAATATATTTTAAATTATTATATAATAATAATTAAATATAATAATAATATAATAATATTATATAATTAAAAATAAGCTTCAAGCTTTCCAAAAAATTTTTTACAGTCAAAAATATAATAATTTTGTATATATAATATTATATATTTTATATTCTGCAATTAAATATATAATAATTTTGAAAATTTCTCGGCAGCTGCCTGTTCAAGTAAGGAAAAATCCAGGTCTCGGCTTCAGCATAGCTGGTGGGATAGCGGGTGCAGAGACAGTAAGTAGAGCATACGTATGAATTAATAAATATGTATTTCAACGTCGAATTTGATATTCGTTTTTCGTGTTGAAAGATCGATCTTCCAACATATCCTTTTTGCAGGGAATAATCGTGACGAAGGTGAATCCCGACGGGCCAGCTCAGGGTACTCTTCGACCAGGAGACAAGATTCTGGAGGTAGACGGTATCGATTTCACCAAATCCGATCACAATAACGCCGTCGCCGTTCTGCGTGCCACCGGTGCTGTTGTTTCTATGATGATAAGTCGCCATCAATGATTGTAAGTTATTCGAGGCAAAAAAGCAAAAAGAAAAACAAAAAGGGGAAACTTTTTCTAATTCTTTTAGATGACATACGATCGCTTTACATACTTCAGACTGAATACATTTTATAATAGCTCTAACATATATATATATACATATATTTAAATATATTCTTTAATAAAAAAATCTGTAAATCACGCGATATATATATATATATATATATATACACACACACATGAACGCGTCACGTTTGTGAGAAAACGATAGAGATATACAGAGCTATGTTAATCGATTCAATCGCAAATGTCGGAATTTTTCGTATAAAAAATATTTCAGGTGCAAATTGAGAGAGTAAAGAAGCTTTACTATCTATATCATATGCTTCTTTACAAGCGATTTTTTTTTATTAAATTAAGATTATCCTTAATCTTTTCGAGGGGACCATATCTCTTTCATGTTATAGTTTTACGAAAGAGTTAAAATGATAACATTTTTTGTACCAAAAAATTATCTTGTCTCAATCAGAAATATTTCTCTTCAAGTCTTACAATTTTTCCTATGTAGATTCCGAGACGATTTTTCAATATATTATTATATAATATATTCAATATATTATATAATATATAAATTTTTGTATTTCGATATTTGTGTGGATCGATTAAAGCAGGACACTCTGTATATATATTTGCGTCGAAAAAGATTGTAAACGAGCTAAGATACTGCTGTCGATCGTTTGAACGCAGGACGTGAAAGGTGTGTGTGATGATGATGATGAGCCGCGAGAATACATAATATTATATATAGAGTATGTTATTTTTCAACACTCTGTGTTTGTGCGGGCGGATTAAACGAGCAATCTATCCCGAGTTATCATAGCTCCTCCTCGACTAGAACAATAACGTCTTTCCCGAAATTTCTAGCTCCGCGCGTCTGCGGACGATGATGTTGATTAGATTAGTTGATTTATATCTATATCTGTGCGTTTCTCTCTTCGACGAGAGTGAGCCGACAATGTGCCAGAAAACAAAGTACTATTTATTATCCATATACATAACATATTAATTATATTGAGAAAAAAGTATATATTATATATATATATACATATATATATATATATATGCATATATTATATATATATACATATATATAAACAAATTTATATCTGTAGAACAGGAAAGCTAGACGAGGTTCCCACAGATTTCAGCGCTGTAAATAGATATCTTCCAATTATCCCCGTGTCAAAGTGTTCACAGGCTGTTTCGCCGAAAAATTCACTTCTTCGCGCGATTTGAAGTTGATTTTTATCTTTGTTTAAGAAAATCGACCGAAAACGTGCGAAGCGAATTAATTAAACACTTGTTACGTCTTTCGTTTCTCGTTATTGACTGAAAAAAAAAATGTTCTTCAAGGAAGAAAGTCGACTTTGAATTCCCTGAAGGAATCTACGACGAGGCTTCCGTTATAATCGTTTCTAATCGTGATCCGAATGTGATAGCGATCTTTATCAGTTGTTGAGACTATAATAGTTGTTATTGCGTTACGGCAAAGCTATAAATTTTATGGATTCGATCGATGTTGTAGAGACGAGAGAATAGTTCTGATAAAGCGTTCACGCGAAATAGTGATGTTATAATGAAAAATCGAATTTAATTCGATTTTTATTCCACTTGCGAGGGACAAATATAGCTACTCGAGTCGAACTGCTTCCATATAATTGGACACACATTCGGGATTATTATTAATAATAAAAGGACGCTTCTCTCTGTCTGTGGGATCCTTGTCGCGACCTGTCTGGTAGGAGAGAAAAAAATATTCTTCTATGTGCCGTACTTATATTATATATCGATAATTAGTATTTATACTCAGTGTCAGTGTCTCTCAGAATCTCTTTCTTCCTCCCTTCTTCTCTCTATCTCTCTTGCACTTAGCCCCTATCAGAAATTCACCTTTTCAAGCGATCGAAAAACGATGATGTTTAGATCCTTCAACACTGGCGCATATTTTTATAACAAAAATTGAAGGGCGCATCCGATATTGCATCAAATACGTATTAAAGATGATATAAAGAATGTTTCGTTTATATCTTCATGCATTTACACATCGGTATACGAGATGTTATTTATTACACTAATTGAAGATAATAAAAAATATAAATAATTAGGTTAAATATTCGACGACATTATAACGTTTATAAATTTTATAAAATATATATAATATATAAAGGCGCAAATTTTTCATTATTTTATATACGTATACAAGTATATAAATTTAAGAGAAAAAAAGAGCGCGCCAGTGCTTAAGGATAAAAGGCTACACGCGAGGCTGATGTGGCTGATATATATCTAGCATTATTTTGATTTCATATCATTGTTAGATTATATATACATATATATATATATCTTCAAGAGACCAAAACACGCACGAAGGGTCTTTCGAAACGCGATTATTTCGGCTACTGCTCGCGTTTTTATTCCCTTGTTTTCGAAGGAATCGTAGACAACCGTGACAGCTGATAATAAATAATCGCACGAGCGTGATACGGTAGATCGATATAAATTTTTTGCACGAAAAAAGAATGAGAAGAACGTGAAGGATTGAAAATTGATAGCACAAATAAAATCGTTATTCGGTTACACAAATATATATGTTGCGTTTATATATGTATATATATTATATATATATTGTGCGCATTGTTACAATTCAAATCGGTGTGAATGCAAAGCTATGTAAGGCCTGCTGGACATTTCACATCTTTATTTCTTCGAAAAATCCGGAATCGACACATTTCGCCGCAAACACGATTCCACAATTCACTTTATTTTATATCTTATCAATATAATTCATTTTTTCTCATTAATAATTTTATATAAATTATATATAATTAATGCTGAGCTGTATTATATATATATATATATATATATATATATATATATATATATATATACATATATATATATTTAATATATTATATATATTATTTATATATATTTAATATTCATTAATTAAATATTATAATTATATAAATAAATATATCGTTACAATTAGAAATGATAATAAAAAAATATCGCTTCGCGTTTGCCAAAGAAATGTCATTCGAGAATCTCGAGGATTAAAGTCCTCCCATTCGAAGGGAAAAAATGTGGAAGGTCCGGAGCCGAGCGCGTTAGATTAATTACTTGTTGTTTATTAAGTTAGTGTCTGTATTTGTATCTTCGTTCTCTTCGTCGATGTTATGTACAATGTATAAGATAATTTACGGTAAGTTTACGGTCGGAAGGAAGGAAGGAAAGCCGCCTTGTTCGAATTTGAGAAAGAAGAATTGTCAGTAGAATTATTCGTACCTAGTCAGACCCAGATAACGAATGTGTTAGTACTTTCCTTTTTCGTCGACTTGATTTTGTCGACCAAGATTTGTGTTTCTTGCATTTAATATTAACGTCGCGACGTGAATCTGGACTTCCAATCGCAGATTTTACCGCTGAAAGTGTTTTTCTTTTTATATTCTCATTTTTCTCTCGTTTATAAATATTCTCCTCATCTTGCCGCTGCATTTGATTCGATGCGTCAGGAAATATATTTAGAGATGGAATAGTTGGTCTCCATTCGCTTCTTCAAATTTATCTCGACTCCCAAGAGCCGCAGATTGACTGTTTCAATTGATTAATGTCGTCAAAGAGTTGAAAACGCGCGAAAAGGGAACGAGATTAATACTATATATTATATATATATGTATTCGCGTTGACGGAGAAGTTTCCACTTTCATGGACCACGAGCACACATATTGTACTCTTTTCTACTACTCTAAACTAAACAGACTGACTACCTTTTGGATACCTATTACATACGTGTTTATTACGACGTGTCTTCGAAGAGGAGGACCTTTTCGAATTTATCTCTTTTTTGTTAATTGAAATGTCAGTTGTAGACTTGAAAAAAAAATCGAATAGCGATTCGAACCCGCCTCCTCTTCGAGCACGCTCGTTATCGTTATCGGAGTGATTGCGAATCAAGATTTTTGCGCGAGTGAATGAAATTCCAAGTTGTACCCATGAGTGTATATACTGATAAGCGATTAATCGTGTGTGCGAAAGCAATCAAGTGGTTGTACCTTTTGCTTGCGATACGTTGATGTCCGTTCACTTTCGTTTCACTTTCGCATCCGTTCATTTCCGCGTCTTGGAATTATTGTTTATCTCTTGAGAATTCAATGCGATGTTAATTATAATTATAATAGACTGAACTGTCTGATTCGCGTTAAAATGCACGGTGTGCCTCGCTTTTGTTATTCGGCTACGCCGTCACCTGGTCGCAAGACACTACCGTGTATTTTGGTATTACGTTCTTTCGAAAAATTTCTTTTCACGTTGAACTGGAGAACGATTTGTCGCTCTCTCTATCTCTATCGCGGTACAACCACTTCGTTAGCGTTCAATTATGGTTGTCATATATTGAATAATTTATAGTTTGTAACGGATCGATGTACAAAGAAAAATTAATCGCGTTCTCCAGCGGACGTCGTCTTCTGATATACAATTACTATATGCATTTTGAATATGTTAGTGGAAGATGTCTGATCTTTAACGAGAAGTCCTAGTTGGTTGTGCAGCAATAAATAAATTAATATTTACGTACAAAGTGATTCAAAACCGCGATTCGTCCCTACTTCGCGCAGGAAGAGATTACACTCGTCTCTCCGACATTAATCATTTCGTGCCAAAAGCGAGAACGAGAACTCCTCCTCCTTCTTTATCGGATCGTTGCATATGCAATGTCGCATCCCGACGTAAAAGCCTCAGTTTCACGATATTCCTTAAGTCTCTCTTCCGATCGAATACCTAAGTATCGCGTCCGAGATACTTTTACAAAAGTGCGCTCGATTCTCCTCAGGTAGAACTCGTAAAACTCGTAATGACATCACGATAACGTCACTTCAAAAGTCTTTTTAGAAACAAAATTTTATATACAATTATTTATTTGTTCTATTGTTCACACATATTCTAACAATATTCAAGCGAATCTTTAAATCATTTTTGTCTAGATAACTTTTAAGTGATGAATAAAATCATAATGACATATGAGTTTTATATTCTACCTGAGTCTCTCGAGTAAATTTGTGTAGAGCGAAAAAAAGTCTTGCAATTATTTTGCGATCTTGAAATAACTCGGTGGAGGAGAATTTCGCCCGGTGTTAAAAAAAAAGAAGGAAATTATACATCTATAAATTTGTGAAAAAAAAATGTTTCTTTTTTATTTTCAGCCGTATTTTCCTTCTAAACATCCTGTCGTGAAAGAAATGGTTGTAAGAATACTCCGCCGAATTTCCAAGCACATCCAAGACTCCAAGAATAAATCCTCCCTCGTCCTCCTCGTCACGAGCCGATCAGCAGATGCATCGGATTTTCCACGTAGTGCTTCCACAAGTTGGAGAACCTCGCCACGGTGACGCCGTCGAGGACGCGATGATCCGCGGCCCAGCTGATCGACATGACGTAAGCCGGAATGACGTTTCCCGCGTCGTTGAATCGCGGGACCTTCTGCGCTCTTCCGAAAGCACCGATTATTACCTGGGGCGGCAGGATCACTGGTTTCGTGTACGTTCCACCGACCTGGAATCGATGAGATTTATTATTGTAATAACAGAATCGCGAATTACCAGGATTTATATATTATTTCTGTTATTTTTATATATTATGCATTATTTTTATCATTTTTCTATATTATATATATATATATTATTTATTATACATATATATATTTTTGTTATTTTTAACGGCGTCAAAATTCGGATTCCCTCGGGATTGCAATTGAGAATATGATTTTTGTATAAATTTTAATGAAGCCCCTTTGGCTCCCGCGAGTTAATTAAATTCCAATTTTGGCACCGTCGAAAATCATAGATTGATGGGCGAAATTCAGTTATGTCTCATTCAGTTTGACCCTTCTGACAATGAAGAGGTATCCAAAACGTTAAAAATGTCTTTGGATTTTTTTCCAAAATAAAATACAAAGGGCCTTTGTATATAAATTTTTGTGTTCACCTTATATAATGAAAAAAAAATATATATATATACGTATAATAATTTATAAATAGATGTTACAAATAATAGTAGATTAGAATAATTTATAGATAATGTTACGCAAAAAATTGTCGCGGTTCAATCTGTGAAAAACATTTGATTGATAACCAGGAACCTGTACATGGAAAAACGAAAGATTCCACATTGACAGAAGGATTCATCAGTCATTATCTGAGCTTACCACGCCTATGTTCGACAACGAGAACGTCGTGTCTGTCAAATCACCGAGGGGAATCGCCGACTTCCTGCCGAGTTCCTGGAGCCTGTTGAGCTCCCGCGCGATTGCGAGGATGCTGAGATTCTGCACGTTCTTGATGTTGGGCACCACCAGGCCCTCCGGGGTGTCCATGGCGATGCCGATGTTGTGGCTGTCCAGGATTCGCAACGTCTGCTCCTCCTCGTTCAGCCAAGCGTTCAGCTCGGGACAGCGCTCCAACGCTCGCGAGGCAGCCTTCACGAAGAAGGGCATCAGGCTTAGGGAGACACCCTCGTCCTTCAACGAGTCCTTCACCTCGTTTCGATATTGTATCACCCGATCCACTTGGCACTCGTCGCTGTAGACGAAGTGCGGTATACTCTGCAAGAAGTTCATGAAGTAGTAAGTTCCTCTTTTTAAGAGAAGTGAAGGAAGCTTAGTTTATTAATTAAATAAAAATAAAAATATTGTAGATGAAATTTGGAGATATTGTAGAAATATTCAGATTATATGTAGAATTGATAGGAATATTTAAACAAAAATAAGATAAGATTATTTTATACATGTTAAGTGTAATATATATATATATAAAATATATATAAAATATATTGAAATTAACAAAATTTGTGTGCTTTTAGTATCTCGATGGGGGATCCCTTACCAGGGATCTAGTCATAGTCTTCCACATGTGTTTCGAGTATCCCTTCAAGCCGACGATCCTCCCCATCACATTCGGAGAAACTTCCGCTTGGACTTCCGCAGTCGCGGAAATCTTCCGCAGATGAGCCAGCACGTCTTCCTTGAGCACTCTACCATCTTTGCCGGTCGCCGTTACGTCCTTCAGCCTCACGTTGTTCTCCATGGCGATTCTCCTCACTGCTGGGGTCACCAATATCTTCCCTGCGAGATTGTCCTGCAATTCTGACTCTTCTTCATTCTTCTTCTTCTTCTTGTTGGAACCGTCAATCACCTGGTCCCGGTCACCTTGAATTTTCTCCGAACTTTTCGCGACGTCCTTCGAGTCGTCCTCTATCTCGATGTCCAGCAACGCCGCCCCGACCATGGCGACGTCGTCCACGTTGTAGTGCAACACCTTGACGAGGCCGTCGTAGGGACTTGTGATCTCCACCGACGCCTTGTCGCTTTGCACCTCGCAGATCTTGTCGAACTGGCTCACCTGGTCACCCGGCTTCACGAACCTGAAATAATTCCGCTTGCTATATTAAATAACATCTTTGTGCAGGATTTGCCCAATTTAGAAGGATTAATTTAATTATTAAAAGTTAGATAAATTATTGTACTTTGGTTGTTAATTTAATATTAATTTTTTATTGATATTATTTATTATTAATAAAATCATTATTTATTTAAAAAATTGTATTTGCTTGTTATAAACTTTTTTTTTCTAATAACATTAAATTCCACAGTGTATGCGCGTCGCCATCCGAACAAATGCCGAGAGGAACAAAGGAGCGGGATGCTGTCGGAGCGTACCATTCTTTCACCGTGACGTCCCGAATCCCTTCGCCGATGTCTGACAGTTGAAAGGGTACCACTTTGCCGGGACGGAGCATGCTGGTGGACAAGAAGCGACATATCGAACCGCGCGATCTCTCAGCCTGCGCAGACAGAAAAGTTTCGTCGAGTTGCTTTGCGAGTACAATGATAACAACAATTTTATTGAGCGATGGGCGACGACGCTACGAGTAAGATACGCGTATATGACATTTAGCAATGTATTTAAAAGGAAGTCCATAGAATTTTGCGGAATTGTGGCAAATGTGGGTAACTTGAATCGGGAGTTGCGCGATAAGGTGAAAAGTATTAAAGTAAAATAATATATGAAAGAATGAAAAATATAACATACAAATATCCGCATAAATTATTATAAACAATTGATAATTTCATTTTAATTTTTAAACTAGACAAGCGTACGTCATTTTGACGTTTAATGATATCATAGTTTGCTATTTGGGTATTATATATATTATTATATATACTCAATTAATTGAGATCTAATAATTGTTATTTTAAGTTTATAAATTATCCTGAATTATATGTTGATTTTTTATATCGATTTTGATTGATTTGAAAATATAAGGGATGACGTATATTACTCGTAGCAATGTATTATGTTTACTGCGCTCTTTTCTTATAAATAATTTGGAATCGGTTATCTTCTCACTCGGTGAACACAAGTTAAATTAAATATATTAAATTAGAGAGAAAATATTTGCTTTTCCAACGTATCAAATTAATTTCTTTGAACAAAATGAAATAAATTGGGCGAAACATCTATACACGTGGATAAAAAAATAATGTAACGAAGAGCAAAATTTTCTATTTTCGCGATTCAATCAACAGATACATTCCACTGTTTATTTCACGATCACTGTTATTTACTTGACGATCGCATACGGGCGACCACACGCGATCGACTCGTTGTATTTAGAGGTCACTGATTGCGTTGGCCCAGTGCCAGAGTTCAATCCGACTCGCGGCTTGTTGACGCGCGCGCGACTATGGCACGTGGCACTCATTGCTTTTTGTGCAACTGCACAAGTTTTGCCGAACGTTCTCTCGCGCGTTTATTTACCTACATGTAAGAGCTTTTTTCGTCTTTATTGTAACCGGCAAACTTACCAGTCGCGCGGCCGTCAGCAAGCGCCAGGGGAGAGCCATCAGCTGATTCCTTCAGCTGTCAAATTAGCTGTCAAATCCGTTCGAGGAGGAGACGCGCGACAGCTCCCACGGGTTTATATATAATCGTGACTATCAAATATGTGCGTTATCACTCGCGCATGTTTATTCACGAGAAGTTATGCAATCGTCGAGTTCGTCTCACTTACGCATTTCGAGCACGCATTGTGAAAATAAGTGTGTAAAGTTATTTTGAGAGAACTTTATCGGGTATCTAAACTGGGTCTACTTTTTATAATAAATTTGTATAAATTTTTATAGTACACTTATTACAGAAAGTACAAAGTTTATAATTTTTGAAACGATATTTTGTTTCTGAATAATTTCGAACTAAATTTCTGTGAGAGATTGTAATGTGAACGCGTCGATGGAAACGTTAGAACTAATTTTCGGGATAAGATAATGGAAGATATCGATTCCAGATCCCCCTGGCGTTCTAAAGAAGGAAAATGCAGGAGAAAAGGAAATCGTTCATAGGCGTCGAGATGCAGAAATTTCTATTTTATATTCACCTCTTAACATTATTTTTTTGTTAGATAAATATATATATTTTAAAAACTCTGTAACTCTATATAGATTTTATATACTTGATTTTTATATCATCTACTCTGAAATTGTTATTGTTATTCACTAGATCGATTTTTTTATACGATAAGGGAATACAGTGACGAATTTTTTTTCGCATGCAGGACACAGGAAATTGAATTTCGTGGAATTATCATGTCGGAATTTCGAATCCTCTTTTTCCGGAAATGATGGATAGCAGGTGGAAATATAGATACACGCTCTCGATACGCCATTCAATAATTGTTTTATTTCCAAGTTCGATTTTCCGTTTCTCTCTCTCTCTCTCTCTCTCTCTCTCTCTCTCTCTCTCTCTCTCTCTCTCTCTCTCTCTCTCTCTCTCTCTCTCTCTTTTCTTCTCTCTCGCACCACGCGCGCTCGTTACAATAGAAAAGATATCATTTTTTTTGTACGTCGCTTTGGCTTCAGCGACCGCGGGAGTCGAGCGATTTGATCGTCGATAATACAATAATAACGCTCCTCTTGCAATTACTCGCAAAATTGATCAAACGTTTAACACAAAATTCTGTAGAGAATTTTTTATAATTTAATAACAAGAAGGCTGACAAAAGAGATGCAGATACATGCGACACTATTATTTTTTTATCTTATGTATACCAGAGATTATAAATGATATATACATACATATACATATATATATATTTTTTTAAATGTCTATACGTTTATAGATAATTGATTGAAATTTTCTCCGAGACGTTTGATCAGTTTCGCGAGTCGAGATTATTACAATAACAAGTACGAAAAGGGAGGTTGAGAAACAACCGGGTGGGAACAATGTATTCTCGATTAATACACTCGATACTGGAGGGTTTACTCCGATAATTGCGCTCGCTTTAAGTACATTTATTTATTGTCCGCTGTGTATACGATATATCTTGTCAAAAAGCTCTTTTCTCTCTCTCTCTCTCTCTCTCTCTCTTTTTCTCAGAGGACGTTAAACATCCTCCCACGGAGATAACTAAAGAAATAAATAAGACGAACAAATATATATATATAAGTCAAATCGATGCGAAAACTCACACTTACATATACATATACATATATCTCGCGCAATTCAAAATCATACATTAGTGAGGTGCTCGACTAGAATTAGTGGATCACTCGGTATATATCAACTTGATAATCGATAAATGCACGTACATGTGTGGCTCTGTGTGTATGTGTATATGTCCCCTATGTGTATATGCGTTATAATTTATTACACAATAACAGTAACAATAACGACAATATGCGATCACGTGGTAACGATCAGTATATAATCTCGATACTTTTCTCTCTCTTTCCTCCTTTGATTGACAATAGACAATAGACAATGTTGCGAACGATATAACGATGATAATCGCGAGACGCTCAGCGTCCCCGTCATATATTTTGTCGATTTTCAAATTTTAATTCAATTATTATTCTCCTTTAATAAAGAAATTAAAGTTTAAAAATCGACGGGGCCCAAGTAGCAAGTGTACGTCGTTAGGCGTCGAATGACGTCATTAGACATCGAATGACGTCAATTTGCTACTCGAGGGGTCGAAGAATATACAATATATAATATTCCTTATCAATCTTATATAATCTTTCCGCCTTCAACTTCATATGTGTATATACGTCTACAATTGTGCCACTTGCTCGTTATTAGTTCTGCTGGTGGTGCTGGACGTTAACGAGATCTCGGTGACCCCCACGGATGTCCTCACCGTCGCGGTTAGGGCGCTTTGCAGGGGCACATTCTCGCTCGCCGACTCGCAGCCTGTGTCTGTAAAATGAAAATTTTATTAGCCATTAGTCGAGCGAGAGAAGAGCGAAAGATATTAAGCTAAGTGCACGAAACGCGACGCGATGTGACGTTGTGGTCCCCCCAAGGGTGCTTTCGCCTCCGGGGGTTTTTCCTCTTTGTCGTGTCAGCGTAACCACCTATGCGGTAAAAATTAAAAAAAAAAATTTTCTCGTAATTTACTCTCCCGAGTTGTTATCGATCGACGTTCCGTTTCTCCGCGAAAATCTAGTTTGAAAAAAATTGAGAATATTTCATATTTAAAGTTTGTAACCATTAATATTAATTGATATTTTTATTTCAAGATAAATTAATAATTAGATTTATCATATATATATATATATATATATATATATTATATAAAGAGATATATAATTTTATATACATATAAAAATAATTTTATCTTTATTGTATAGGGTGAATTTAATTTATTAATCGATGACTAAATTTTGTACGTCTGAACTCTTGAATATTTAATCTTTAAACGTTAAATTAATAACAACATATTAAATTAATAATTAGATAATAAGTTATATATAAAGATAAATTACTAATAGTTTCATGAGCAGGAATATAGGGTAAATTTAACATAAATTTAACAGAATTTTGAGTCTTTTTGCTCGTCTTTCTCTCTCATTTTCTGGATGAAGAAAAGGACTTATTACGTAATCGCTGTCTCATAATACAAGAGCCATGATGTAATGTATATAATACAGTCAAGCGCGCGTGTCGCTCCACGAAATTTCCCAAATTTCTCTCGAATAATCCACCTATACATTCGCACAAGCGGAGAGACAAAGGAGAGAGAGAGAGGGAGAGCTAGGCGGTATTAACTTAATAATTTAGCATCGCTTAGAGCGGAATCGTCCGAGCCCAACTACCATTAATGTATGCGCGCGCGCTCGCTCATTCGCCCTGTAATCCCTTTCACGATTGACGTAGCCGCGTAATAACCCTTGATTGTTAATCACAAAGCAACGGAGCAATAAAATAATTGAAGCGCGGAACGTCGCGTCTCAATATATCAATTGCGCGTCTCATATCTTATCCATAGGAAGAACTTGAATGAGATTCTAAATAAAAAGACAGCAGGGGGCGCGCGTGAGGGAGATGATGACACGGCGCGTTATAAATAAAACGTTTAATAAACGAAGAGCCCTTCCAAATCCGCGCCAGGATTGGCCCAGATTTCAGTCACGGGCTGTGTGTTACATCCAGCCGCCGTCACGTTATCGAATATCAAGCCGTCGCGTCTCTCTCTCTCCGCGTATCGATTACTTTCTTTCGAGCGAAAGCCCCGAATGGATGACGAAGCGATTCGTCGTCGTCGTCGTCGTCGTCGACTAGGATGTCATGAATCGCGAAGCCGCAGGTCCCCTTTAATCCTTCTGTCAATGAACGCCCAAGTAGCAAACTGACGTCATTAAATGTCAAAATGACGTCATTAGACGTCAGTTTGCCAGGACATAAAACTCATAATGACATCATGGTAACGTCAATTAATTTTCAATTTTTGAAAAAAGTTTGATATATTACAATTATTTATTTATTCTATTGTTCACATATATTCTAACAATATTTAAGCAACATAAATTTTTTGAAAATCATATAAAGCGATTATCTTATATATTAGGGAGCTTTGTAAATTTATAATTCCTCTTGTCGCGTCTTTAAATCATTTTTGAATCATTTTTGTCCAAGTAACTTTTAAGTGATGAATAAGATCATGATGGTGTCATTATGAGTTTTATGTTCTACCTGGGTTGCTACTTGGGCGGGTACCCAGGTACCTGAAGAGACTTTAAATGTCAACACAAAATATGAAAGTAATTAGCTCTTTTATTTATATTTAATTTTATGAAGATATTGTCGAGAAAAAAAATACAAATGGTACCTGAATACCCATAACATTGATAAAAAAAGTTATGTAGAATGTCTTGAAGAAGAAGAATATCATCTTCATATTTATCGTCCGCGAAGAAGAAAAGAAGAAAGTCTTATTTAAACTGGAATAAAAAATTCAGGCGAATTTTAATTATTATCGTTCCCGCAATCGCTTTCTCTGTTAAACATCTCCGTAATTTCCCTCGCTATTTTCTCCCGAGGAATATTTCAAGAGGAAATAAAAAAAATGGATATTTATAGAATATTTCACGCTCCCTTTGAAAATATCACTTTGCGCGCATTTTCGTTCTATTAGATAAATAATTATCGCGCGCATTATTCACGCGCTATCGAACGACGAGACGATATATCGAATGTAGCGGAAAGATAACGAGATCGATCGTCATTGTGTCGGTCGTCGCGCGTTTTCCAGGATGGGAGAGAGACGAGAAAGAGAAGAAAAAAAGGGAAACGCCTTCTTCTTTTCCTCAGTATCAATTCGCGCGGAGGATTTCGTCGCCCTATAAAAAAAAATCCAAAAAGAAATGAACAAATCCAGTTAATGATCCTGAAGAAGACCCTCACACTTGGTCATGGACGAGGCGCCGGCGCTGCTGCCCTGCTTCTTGAAGGTGCTGCCCATGCAGACCTTGCCGCGTATATTCTTGTCCGGCTGGAAGACGATGATGTAGACCTTGGGCGAGTATAGGCAGACCAGGGTGACGGACGCGCTGAGACTGATCGCGACGCAGAGGGTCGTGATCTGGGTCTCGTGGGAGTTCCCGGTGCCGAAGTAGATCGGCACGAAGGCGAGCCAGATGATGCAGGTGGTGTACATGGTGAAGCCGATGAACTTGCTCTCGTTGAAGTTCTCCGGTATCCTGCGGGTCTTCACCGCGTAGACGGTCGAGATGAGAATCAGCAGGGCGTTGTACAGCTGGGAGAAGAGGAAGCTCATGTCCTGGATGTTGCACTTGAGGATCACCTGGCGGCGATCCGGGTACGAGTGCCTGGTGCCCGGCGGCTCGATGATCATCCAGACAAGCGTGAGCACCACCTTCGTGGGAAAGCCATTTCTCTCTCTTTCCGTCTTGTCTATCTGTGTCTTTTTCTCGCGAAACCAACGAGAAAAGATCGAAAAAACGCGCGAGATAACATCAAGGGTATAAAGCACCTATTTCGAACCGAATATAGTATATCAGTATATATAATAAAGTAAAAATATAAATTATTAATTATTAATATAATATACATATATATATATATATATAATATATATATATATATATATATATAATTATAATATATATAATATATATAATATATAAATATATATATAATATATATATAAATATAATATATATATATTATATATATATATATATATATATATATATAATAATGTAAATTGTAGGGAAAAAAACTTTTATCCCGGGCACGCGGAGATTTTTTTCATCTTGCAGCTTTTTCTTATTAAAAATTATGAAAAATCGAGGCAACTGTTCTCAAGCGCTGCAAAATTGCAAATCTGCGTTCTCTCGACTCTTTTTCCCTTTATTAAGTCTTTATAAATATGTACTCTTTCGTGGATAATTAATTCGAAATAATTAACATTGCCTTGTAATTACTATAAACTTTTATCGTATCAAATTAATTGATTATAATTGCACTAATATAATCGTATTTAATATTTTATTTCTTCTTATTGCACATTACGTAAATAAATAAATAAACAAATAAACAATGATATATGTATATATATAAAATCTCATTAGATCTTCATGAAATGTGCGTGGATGATTTAACTCGGAACAATTAATCGCCTTACAATTACACAAGCTCTCATATTGCGTCATTCGCGTATTGATTAACAATCGCGTGTTTATTTCATTTCCTGCTACGCATTACGAAAATCCCGTGTTTGCTTTAAATGAACAAATAAACACGAATAAAAAAGAAATTAAAAAAACAATATTAAATGACAAATAAATATAAAAAAATTAATTTAGCAAGTGAGAGAGAGAGAGAGAGAGAGAGAGAGAGAGAGACGACGACGACGAAGATGCTTTTGAAAAACAAACGCTCATCGGCTCGAAATAGAAACTTCATCCCCATCAGGCTCGACCTCCGCTTTACCTGGAAGGCGATAAGGGCGGCCGCGATGCAGACCTGGGAGGTCGGACTGATGTACCGGGGTCTGATCGCGGACCTCGAGGCCGAGTCGAAGATCCTGGCGATCCTGTTGGTCTTGGTGAGCAGGGCGCCGTAGACGGTGCTGAAGCTGACGCCGACCCCGAAGCGCTGGAGAACGCAGGTCGCCGTCGTCGGGGTCGCGAGCAGCACGAAGGTGTTGAGGTAGCAGACCAGCACCCCGGCCAGCAGGATCGCGGTCAGCTCCCGTCCCGAGGCGCGCACCACCGGGGTGTCGCGATGTTGGAAGAGCAGACACGCCACCGCCAGAGTCGCCACGATCCCCAGGCAGGATATCACCGCGGGCGCGATGGCGAAGGCGCTGCTCCACCTGGTGATATAACAACATCAGCTTTCAATTTCTCGATCAATCACTGGGATCAAGGATTTTTTTTATCAATTTGTTTTTTATTAAATTGCACGGGAATTTTTTCTCCTATTATAATTTATATACATATTTCATGTATATAAATTATATATATTATATATATTATATTATTATATGCATTTATATTATATATTAGGTATATTTATAATTTTTTTGATTATTTCGAAAAAAGAATTTATTTTTAATTAAAAAATATTTTTCAAAACTAATATAATTATTGCTTATAGTTTCTATTATTTTTTTCTAAACAATAAATTTAATATAAGTATTTTGTAATATAAAATATATAATACATATTAAATATAATATACAATATAATATATAATAAAATATTTAATATTGTATAAATAATATAAATTAAATATAATACACAACATATAATATAAATTAAATATATAATATATAATATATTAAATATTGAAATATATGAAATTATTATATTTATCATGACATAATTTAATGAAATTGAATTCTCTTAATCCAACTAAAATCTCGCGTTTTTCCAATTTCGCAGCCCTTGGTCGCGCATTTTCAGATCGATAACGTTCTCCTGACAACATCAAGTTTAAAGGGAAAAAAAGGAAAAAAAAGAAGAAGGGAGCGTGAACGCGCGCACCTGATATGCTTGATCGGAAGCTGGTAGCAGCCCCGCTTGTCGGGGTGGGGCCAGCGGCCCGGGCCGCAGTCCATGCAGGTGTGCTCGTCGTAGACGTACTCGTACGCCTCGCACTGGTCGCACACCCAGCAACAAGTGTCACCCTGTTGCTTCTTTATCATACCTGGCTCGCAGGGCAGCGAGCACGCGGAGATAGGTATGTCCTTCGTTCCTCGCGCCCACACCATCTCCTCGGTGCGAATGTCCAGGGAGTTGTACCATTTGCCCACCACCTGTCGGCAGCCACCAGCAGATTTGTCTCTCTCATCCCCTGCGCTCCCTCAATACGCAAATTTCTCCCGTTCGCGACGCTTGGCAGCTGATCAAATCCTCCGTCGAATTTCATTTCATTTCCGTCAATTGCGGAAAGAGAGAGAGAAAGAGAGAGAGAGATTTTTTATTTATTTCCTTGCGGTTGATTTTAATTATACGCCTGATGGAGAAAATTTATTTCAATTAAATAAATATACATATATAGTGTAGATATAATTTACATAATAGAATAAATATATTTTATATTTTCTCTCATGTTTGTACATTTATAAAAAATTATATTTCATTGAAAGAAAATTAAATGAAACATTTTAAAGATTTTTTCATGAATATTCTATACGTATATAAAATGTGCAATTCAAAAATTTTATTTAAATAATTAATCACTATAGTTTGAAAAAAGTAATAAAATATATAATATATAATATACAATATATAATATATAATATATAATATATAAATATATAATATATATAATATATAATGTGTATAATATACAATATATAATATATAATATATAAATATATAATATATATAATATATAATGTGTATAATATATAATATATAAAATAATATAGTATAATATATAATATATAATATTGCTTAGAGAATTATATTACTTAGGTAATTAAAAAAACCTGCAATCACTTTTTATAAAACGTTGTTTGAACGTCGTTTGACCCGATCGTTTTTCTTAGTTTGAAGCTCAAATTATTGCCTCATTTACTTCTGATTCTCTCTCGTTCTTTTTCTCTCTCTCTTACTCTAAACACACCGTCATATTTTTCTTGTCCTAGAGCTCGAGGATCTAATTTCGCATCGGTTTTCCCCCGGTGGAAAGCGTTTTCTCGGAAGTTTTTCTTCAGGGCTCTCGAAAGTACAGTCACGGCGCAACTTTAATTACTCGTTAAAAAGGCAGAGCCACCCCTTTGCGCATTCGCTTCATTCGATTCCGCGTCGCATCATCGATCGTGCCGACTTTACACGCGTATTACCGAAAGCAGACATGTGAAAACCGATATACATTTTATTTATCCAAAATATCTTCTGGGAAAAAATACATGTATATGTGATATATCGGTATTTTTTTAAATTTAATTGAAAACTAGCAGCAACTGAAACAATCTAGGTCAATGAAAGATATAAATCGAATTTATTTACATCGATATTTAAAGCTCTCGAGATTATATTACTTTCGTTATTATTATATTATTATATTTGAGAAATCGATACGGCATTTCCGACAATACCAATTTCAAACTCTATAAAACTCTTTAAATTATCTTCTCGAGTGGTTTTTCGAATTAAAAGAATTCCCCGGCGTGTAGAAAAATATAGTCGAACTTTTTGCTTTCGTTATGTTTCATATACTTGAGATGAGATACCGTCGAACTGTCGAAATTAATGTTTCGAGCTCGAGGGATCCGAATAATTCGAGAACTCGGAACGGTTAAAATTGTTCGACCGCCGGAAAATTCCATCTCATCCGCGAAAGGGGGATGTACGTGAAAATGAGGAAGTTTGTAGAAGCCGAAGGTGGAGCGAGAGAATCGGCTTCTACCTCTCGGTGTTCCAATTCAACTTGTCGCTCGCGACAGGGGAGAGACAGTTTGTTCAATTATGCATCGGCGAATGAGATGAGGGATACGTGATTAAGGCGACTCGGAATGAGTGCCCTACCTGATACTGATAGCCGTTCGTCCCATTGTTGTTCGCCTCTTTGCGAAAATTCAGGATCTCGTATCGCGCCAGACCGTCCCCGTGCTTGTCGAACTTCACCTCACTTCCGGCAATGTCTGCAAAATCATAATAATCGCGATGATCACTAGGTTCGATATAATAATACTATATAATAAATAAATAAATAAATAAGTAAATAATTATATAATATTAAATTATTATATAATAATTAAATATTTATATAATAAACAATAATAAATTGAAGAGGCTCTGATATTTTTGATTAAATATATATTTCATTAAAATATACTGATACATTTTATTAAGTATTTAAAACAAAATTCAGATATGTAAGAGCCAGGCACAGTTTGTTATTATAAAATAAATATAGAAGAATTTTAAAATAATTTTGTTCTGCCTAATATCTTATCAGCCCGTTTATTCAAATCCTAATTAAATTAAATATGTGAAAATTTGAGTCAAATTCAATAATTAAGCTTCCAGAATTCGAATAAGAAATAATTTTTTAATTTATTGTACTTGCGAAATATCGATCCTAGAACTTATAATCGAATTTTATATTTAGTAAAATATATAAGTATCGAAATATATTATAGATTCGAGGTAGAGACATAAAAAGTTTGAACCTATCTCGTTCAAGCTTGAATCTACTTGAATTTACTTTTTTTCAAAGTAATCATAGAGAATTTAAAACCATGTAAATAAATTCGAACCTTATACTTAATTCCATCGTTAATGAGTTATGAATCTTAAAAACCCGAGTAGAGCGTAAAACTCATAATGACATCATCATGATTTTATTTATCACTTAAAAGTTATGTGAACAAAAGTGATTAAAAATGATTTAAAGACGACGAGAATCAAATTTAAAGTTCCCTAATATAAAATAATCGCTTTATACAATTTTCGAAAAATTTATACTGCTTGAATATTATTATAGAATATGTGTGAATAATATAATAAATAAATAATTGTAATATAAAAAACATTTTTTCTCTCCAAAATAAATTTTAAGTGACGTCATCATGATGCCATTATCAGCATTATGCTCTACCTCAATTTTAAAAATGGCTAAAAAATATGTCAAGTACAACAAACATAAAATATAGAATTATAAGAATTTTCAAGAACGAAAATGAGATGAAGGAATTTTCTATTACTTCGCTTTTCACGAAAGATTTCAGATAAATATTCAATTTTCTGACATTATAAAATCACTTCTATATAATCCGACGCTGCATTCCTTCCAACTCGCTTCTTTATACCCGACAGTCTTTTATTCCGCCAGCCTCTCCGTGCATTTCTTCAGATCGTGCTCAACAGAGGACGATAAGAAGTGCGTGGCACCAGGAATAGAAAAGAGCGTCGGGTGCACAAATGCACAATGGGAGGCGAACAAACGGCGCGTCGCGTCCGATTATATTCCGCGTTTCATCGGATTCCACTCACCTCTAAAAGACACGTTTAACAGATAATCCCGATAGAAGGCGCCGCGGTCGTAGTTGGCCATCGACGAGCAGAGGCCCTCCTCGCGATCGCGGCAGAGGTCGCGGCGCAGATTGTGCAGGGCCAGGGCGAAGGCGTAAACCGCGTCGACGACGAACTGCACCTTGGACTCCTGCTCGTAGCCGCTGTCCTTGTCGAGTCTGAGCCAGGGCGAGCACCAGGAGACGCTATGATTGCCGGAACCCGCGTGCTTCCAACTCACCCCCTGCTGACTCAGGGCCTTCCTCCGCAGGGTGCAGTCGAACACCTCCTCCCAGTACTCGCCGAACCAGGGGTTTCGCCGGTTGTTATCGGGGGTGAGTCGCGCCATGTAGTCGTCGAAGCCGGGAATTTTCTTCGACTGCAGCTCGACGGTGATGGCACCCTCGGCCTCCTCCTCCAGGCCCTCGATCAACTTGCTCTGTCGACCCCATCCGTCGCTCGCCAACCACTGCGGGGTAGTTTATCATCGTTTAGGAGAGAACACGTTATTATACAGGGTGATTTACAACGAGCGCAAAAAGCCTGGACAAGCTTGTTCGGGAGGTCGTATATTTGAATTTATGGATACTATTTCTGAATTAGAACTACGAGAGGTCATAGTTTAATTTGCGCTAATCAATTTGATTTATATAATATCTAGAGTTGTAATTTAATAATTTTCCAATTACAATTAGCAATTAATAAGCTGTGGAATTTCTTTTACACTTGTTGTAGATCTTACTCTGTATATTCATCTTATCCTTCGATTAGAAATTTCAAGAAATGTGTATAAATATTATAATGCGATGGAAATATAAATATAAATTAAATATAAATTAAATATAAATTAAATTGCAATACTAAATTAAATAGCTAATATTAATAAGCTGTGGAATTTTTTACACTTGTTGTAGATCTCACTCTGTATATTCATCTTGTTGTTTGATTAGAAATGTGCGAAAAAATAAAAATTTATTATAATACGATGGAAATATAAATAAAAATAACATATCAATGAAATATAAATAAAATATAATTAAATTGAAGCTTTCATCCCTCTGACCTGAAAGGGCTGGCTGAGGTTCAATCGTTTGGCGGCCTCGAGGATGCCGCGGGCGTCCTCCGCCCGGGTGAACAGGACGATCGCGCGGGCGTTCGGCTTCTTGCTCAAACGTTGGATGATCTCGTCGAACATCTTGTCGTCCGCAGCGCTGGGCACCTTGACCGCAGCCGCGATGCAGACGTTTCGCTCCGTCGCCTCCCGGGTGAACACCTCGATGCCGTACTCGCCGTAGCTGCCCTCCGAGTAAACGGTGGAGACGTACGACCAGTTGGCGCTCTTCACCACGTCCACCAGCGCGATCGACTGGAAGGTGTCCGGCGGTACCGTTCTCGCGAAGTAATCGAACCTGAGGAACCAGTGAACACGGACACGCTGAGAAAACTATCGTGATAAATAATCGGGAATTTTGCTATTACTAAATCATTTTTATTATTAAGAAATATTTATTATAATTTTTTTATTATATTTTATATATAATATATATAATATATAATAAATATATAATATATAATATATATATATATAAAATATAATATATAATATACATGCCACGAATTATCGTATATGAAATAATACTTTACTTTGCTTAAAATCTTGGGTCATTAATAATTAATCCTGTATACGAAAATTTAATTAAGAAATTAGTTGGTCTAAGAAATGAATGGTTAATTAATTCAGATTTGAGCAATCCAGAGAATTAATTATGAAAATTCATAAGCTCTTTAATATTGTTTGAGATTCCCCTGTCGCACGCTTAAACCGTCGTATCTTCAAAGATATGTGCTTGTTAAAGTCATTTAGAACGACTGTTTGAACAGGAGTCGGAAGTCTTCTAATGACAATCATATACACGACATCGGCAAACAATGTGACAAACCGTTTGATAGAAATGTCAGGAGTTCACGTTAATTACCGTCAACGTCTTGAATTCGACGAATCGGCGATTGTTAGAGCTAATAATTGAAGAGTTTATTTTAAAATCATCATGTCTATGAATTCGTGTTTTATGAGAACATGGAGAATTTAAATATTTAATACAAATATTTTGTCTCCTCGTAATTAGATGTTATGTATCTTTTCATTTTTAATATTTTAATATTTTATATCTTTTATTTCATCAATCTACGAATACTTGAATTTTCTGAAGAAAAATCCTTATCAAATAGAAATTTAAAAAATATGCATTTGAATTTATATATAATTAATTATATTTTCTCACACAATATGATTGCAATTATTGGCGCAAGAATTGTTCTATCCCTTTTTCAGTTGTCGTTTCATCATTTTGTTAAGATTATTTTATATTTAATTCAATTTAATTTTATTTTATTACATGCTTTCATTGTTCTTTATTAAATTCTGTTTCGAATAAAGTTACTAATTTAAATTTTTAATTACTGAGAGAGAAGCAAAAAATTATTTCTCGTCGGGCAAATTGTATTTCTACAAATTTAATTTTTTCATTTTACTCGACAGACCCAAATTAAATTTTTTTCATCAATTTACGAAAATTACAACTACATATAAAAATATTCAGTGTTGTGCTTAGATGATTGTAAAATTATGTAGATAATGATGAAATGAAAATATGTAAATTCATCTTAGATACGATGAAAATAATTGTGTTTTAAATATATCTAGATAAAAGATGAAATTATATGGCGATTCGTCTATCTTATTTCCAGATAAAACACGCAGTTACGAAAAAAATGTAAATTATACAAGAAATATAAAATATATATTATTGCTTCAATTCTACTACTTAATATTTAATATAATATTTTTGTGTTATGACTTTAAACCAAATTATCTGAACATTATTCTACATAATTTAGTAAAGATAACACTTTTTCATCTAAGATGTAGATATAGATAATACATATTTTTATTATCTATATAAATAATCTATATGAATAATCTATATAAATAATTTATATAAATAATCTATATAAAGTTATCTGTATAAAATTAAAATCTATATGACTCCAAAATTCCATCTAAATGATCATCTATATAATTTGATTTAGATGACAGAGCAAACACTGAAAATAATAATATTACACCTGGTCTTGTCGCTGAGCGCCTTGGCGGTGGAGGCCGGCGAATTTGGGGGATGTGAAAGAGCCTGAGGAGATTCGCCACCTGGAGCGAGACCGAGCTGTAGGATCCGCCGATCACCCCGAAGATGGGTCCCGCGCTCGCGGTCTTCTTCACCCTGGGCGTCGACCTGTCACCGCACTCGAGCACGCTGATGTCGATGTTGGACAGGGACGCCCGAACGAAGTGCAGGCTCTGATTCAGAGCGTACGTGTCGCGGCCGCACGTGTCTAGGATGTGCACCCCCAGGGTGACGCCCGGCAGCATCTCCTTCTCCTGATTGATCCTCTCGACGGCGAAGAGCATCGCCTCGAGACGCTGCATCCCCCGATGATAAATGTTGGGTCCGCACGCGGTTCCGCCGCCTTTCTCGTGCACCGGAAACAACCCGCCCAGGACGATGTCGCCCGGGATCAGCACCGCCTCGCTGTGCGTCCTCGATTGCGCCAAGGACACCGATGATAGCCGCTGCAGCGACAAGGTCAGGAGCAGCAAGGAGGGCCAAGGCACGCGCTCGCGCATCTTAAGCTCGCCAGCTGCGGTCTGCTTCGCAGTCCTAGCTTCGTCGGAATCTAGGATCTTCGATCCACCTCGTCCGCGTTACATCTGTCAAGGTGAAGACTCTTGGTCTCTTATCACCTATTTCCGGATGAAACAGCTCTCTCTCATGTCTCTCGCATCAATCTCGAATCCGTCTTAATTCCTTACTAACGTGTTGGATCCTTCAAGGTTGTTTCCAGTCTGTCAATTACGGTGCAATTAAGGGGATGGTTGACCATGTCTGTTTTACCGACTTTGAGATCAAGGGCTTTTCTTTTTATTGGCTATACAGATTGGAAAATCCTTCTCCACAATTACAATACTGATAATAATAAACGGGGAGCGCTGTAATTTTGTATAAAAAACAATAAAAGTTTGAAAATTACAGTTTTTTATCGGCATCTTGCATCAGCTCATAACAATACTTATTTAATACAAAAGTTCTACAGTTTATTTGTGCACAAAATATGGCGTTCCCAATAGAGATGACATGAAAGAATAATACAGACGTAATAAAAATGAGATTAAAAGCCTTGTGTATGAAAAGATACGTACTTGAATTATTCAATAAAAAGTGGACCTAACCTTAACTTAAAGTCGGTAAAACAGAACTACGGCAGCATCCCCTTAAGAGCCTACGAATTTATTTCTCGAGATAGATTGTGTTACTTACCGCGTTCTCCGCAGACGGGATCCTCCTCGACGGGCCTCCGCATCCGGAAGAAGCCGGATTCCTCGCCATCGATTCCGGGTGTACGAGCACCGACCGCGAACTTGTGCTTTTTGACCTTTCCTCGGGCGACACGCACCCTTCCGCATCCCTGTCGAATGGTTTCCGGTAGAAGTCCCGGGAGAATCGACGTCGATTCCCTCTTCTACGATTTCTTCACTTTAGCTTCCTCTGAAGATTTCTTAAATCGTGTTTATATATATATATATATTGTTTTTCGGATCCTCTTGCCAAGTTTTTGTTCCCTCGTTTTTTCACTTCAAAGGCCAGCTAGACAAGAACACAAAATCCTCTCCGAGATCCTCTCCAGGAGGACTTGAAGCTTCGCATCCGATGCGATTATCCTCGGACTGTTCCGATAAACGGTTCCGGAATCGAATATCGGAAGACTCAGGTTCCGGAACAATTATTCGGCGTCGTCGGGGCCATCTAGGAGTCTACTCCTCTTCTCGAGTTAGGATTCCCTTGAATTTCCGATTCTTCTTCTTCTTTTTCTTCGCAGTCGTCCTATTTCATCCGTTTTTTTTATCGAGACTCACGACTCTTCTTTTTTTCTATGAAATGAAATCTCTTTTGAAACAAACAAGTTTTTTTTTTTATTGTATATATTACAATACAAGGTGTATATAAATAAGTGTGAAAAATTTTAGTTGATTCTTTGTCGAAAATTAAGGGGGGTTTCTTATATAAACGTATCTTCTTATATTCCTCCCTAAGGAATTACATTTTTAAAAAAAAAAGTTAGTTTCATCCCTTTACAACGACACAGAAAAATATTAATAAATTATATAAATAACAATAAAAATAATAATAATAAAATAATAATATATAATAATAATAATAATAAAATAATAAAATAATAATAATAATAATAATTTTATTAGTGGAAAATATCCACCAAGTTTCACTTTTTTAATTTGTCGGAAATTTGAGAAAAAAAACTCCTCACGAAGTGATATGTTTATATAAGAAACTCCCTTAATTTTCGATAAAGAATCATCTCCTAGAACTTTTCGCACGTATTTAGATACACTCTATATATTTATTTATTTATTTTTGCAAGATGTATGCAACTCCCTTATCGAGAGTCTTTCAGCTTCGTATTTACCTTCTTTCGAGAGCAGGTAAATTTCCGAGCGGTTAAACGGATTTAATTTCACCGAGATGGGGTTTAACGAGCTCGCTGATGGCGGTGGTAATCGTGATCCGGCTTTAGAATCGAGACTGCGGTCTTGTTTTGAATTTCAAAGTGACGACGACGATTCGACGATGAGGCGCGACGATGAGCCGCTTCGCTGGATCTCTTTCATTATTTTTATTCCGAACTCCTCAGGATCAAAGGTGTCGTAGGACGTAGAACTCGCGCGAGAAATATTCCTCCTGCAAAATTCGATTCGTTTCATCAGATCTCCAGGATCTACTCGTAATCTCTACAATTACAATATTCAATATATTATACAGCAGAAAATATTTTAAAAATCTTTTAAATATATTTCTTAATAAAAAATAAAATAATTCTCGAAAATATTTTTAAAATGTTTCCATGTCCGTTTTTTCATGTTTAAAAAATATTTTTGAATATATAGATTTTAACTAATATTTCAAAAATATTTAAGAAAATATGATCTAAGCGATAAAGAACATTTTTTAAAATATTTTTAATAGTTTTTTAAAATATTCAAAAAAAATGTTATCACAAAAAATTCTTAAATTATTTTAAAATATTCCTAAAACAATTTTAAAATGTTTTTATGCAATATTTTATAGTAATATTTAGAAATATTTTAGATGGTTTTAAAATTAGCTAAAGATAAAGATGAGATGAAAATGTGTAAATTCATCTTACAATTAGATAAGACGAAGATAATTTTGAATTATATTAATATTTTATTAATAATATTATTTTTAAGACCGCTTATCACAGGTAGAAGATAAAATGTATAATGACATCGTTATGAATTTATTCATCACTTAAAAGTTATCTGAAATTATTTAAAGATGACAAAGAAATCAAATTAAAAGCTCTCTAATATAATATATAAGATAATTGCTTCATATAATTTTCAAAAATTTATGTCCATTGAATATTGTTAGAATATGTGTGAACAATAGAATAAATAAATAATTATAATATATAAAAATTTCTTTTAACATGAATTTTAAGTGATGTTATCATAATGTCATTATAAGTTTTCCAAGTTCTACTTGGAATGTAAACTCAGTTGTAAAAAATATACATCATAAAAAGGATATAAAAATAAATATTCATACTTTTATTTGTAAGTTTTTATCGCATAATTTCTACTACTTAAGTATTTTTATGTGCTATGACTATAAAACAAATTTGTAAGATATAGATATATTTTTATTATCCATACACTAACAACAAATTATTAAATTAATAAATACTGTCTGATCAATTATTCATTTGCAACAAATAAATATTTATGTGTCTTTTGCACAGAGTTTTCTTATATCAATATTTTTCACATCAAATCAATTTAATCAATATTATTACAATTTCAAATAAATAATTTATTAGACAATATTGAAACAAAATATTTATTCGAATTCAATATATTTTTTCAGTGCGTATAAAAATATAAGATACCAAAATTTCATCTAGAGATTTCCCAGATAATCATCTATATTATAATTTTATTTAAATAACAGCAAACACTGAGAACTAGTCTCGCGTATGCAAAGTTATCGGGAACGTTGATCACAATGGGGGGAGGTAGCGCAAACTTTCCGGATTATATAGAGGTTGGATCTCTCTCTCTCTCTCTCTCTCTCTCTCTCTCTCTCTCTCTCTCTCTCTCTCTCTCTCTCTCTCTCTCTCTCTCTCTCTCTCTCTCTCTCTCTCTCTCTCGACGTCGATGGAGGTGACTTCCGTGCGAGAATCTCTCTCTCTCTCTCTCTCCACGTATCCGCTTTTCGGACTAATAATTTCGCCGACAACTTCCGGCCTGTGATTGCTCAGGAAACTGCTAATGCGCGCACGCCCTACATGCATCCCGATGCAATCGGCGAGGAAGGGGAGGAAGGGATGCATCGAGACTGTATCGACGAGAGCAAAGTACGAGGGAGGTTGGGTGGATCGAGCAAGGGCAAGGGCGCGGATTGTTTCCCTCTTTCTCTCTTTATATAAATATATATATATAAATAAATCTTATATACTTTTCTTTGAATAAATTCTCCTAATCATGTTGCGCTTAGATGATTTTACAATTGAGATGAAAATATGTAAATTTATCTTAAATAAAATAAAAATAATTTTATTAAAAATATATCTAGATAAAAGATAAAATTATATGATTCATCTAGATAACTTCTATCTTAGATAAGATGATTTTGTTTTAAATATATCTAGGTAACAGATAAAATTATATAACGACTCGCAGTGTTGTGTTTAGATGATTTTAAAATTAGCTAGATAGAGATAAAAATGTAAATGCATCTTAGATAAAATGAAGATGATTTTGTTTTAAATATATCTAGATATAAGCTAAAATTATATAATTCTAGATTATTTTTTAGATAATTAAGATTATTTTTACGACCGCTTTATATAGACATAGTTATTAAAAAATGTAAATTATATACAGTGTTGTGCTTAGATGATTTTGAAATTATCTAAATAAAGATGAGATAAAAATATGTAAATTTATATTAAATAAAATGATTTTGTTTTAAATATATCTAGATAACAGATAAAATTATATAACGACTCGCAGTGTCGTGTTTAGATGATTTTAAAATTAGCTAGATAGAGATAAAAAATGTAAATGCATCTTAGATAAGATGAAGATGATTTTGTTTTAAATATATCTATTGTAGATAAAAGCTAAAATTATATGATTCTAGATAACTTTCTAGATAATTAAAATTATTTTTACGACCGCTTATATAGACATAGTTATTAAAAAAATGTAAATTATATACAGTGTTGTGCTTAGATGATTTTGAAATTATCTAAATAAAGATGAGATAAAAATATGTAAATTTATATTAGATAAAATGATTTTGTTTTAAATATATATCTAGATAACAGATAAAATTATATAATGACTCGCAGTGTTGTGTTTAGATGATTTTAAAATTAGCTAAATAGAGATAAAAAATGTAAATGCATCTTAGATAAGATAAAGATGGTTTTGTTTTAAATATATCTAGCTAAAAGATAAAATTATAAGGCGATTTATCTACATAATAATTTTTAAGACTGCTTATATGAACACAGTAATAAAAAAAATGTAAATTATAAAAAAAAATATAAAAATATATGTATTCATATTTTTATTTATAAATTTTTATCGCTTACTGTTTAAGTTCTACTATTTAAATATTTTTATGCGCTATGCTTCTAAACCAAAATTATCTAAAAATTATTCTAAATAATTTAGTAAAGATAATACTTTTTGTCATCCAAGATGCACAGATATAGATAATACCTATTTTTATTATCTATATAAAGATAAGATGACGCCAAAGTTTCATCTAGATGATCATCTAGATAATTTTATTTAGATAATATTAAACACTGATAATATACATATTTTTATTATCTACATAAAGATGACACAAGATGACACCAATATTTCATCTAGATGAAATCATCTACATAATTTTATTTAGATAACAGCAAACGTTGCTCCTAATATATACATGTTGAGATCGCTTAGCGTAATCTCGTAATCATGGAAATTTCTCTCTCTCTCTCTCTCTCTCTCTCTCTCTCTGTCTCTTTTGGGGGTGAAACCGCGCGGAAGCGGCTCAGATGCGACGACACGTAATATGTAAACACACGTACGTAATATCGCGCGAATCCTATCGAGAGATCGTCCCGATAATCCTACAACGGATTCGATCTGACAACGAAACCCTGATGGACCGAGATGGAGATCCCCTATTCTCTCTCTCTCTCTCTCTCTGAGATGTAACTGCTTGCAAATACGAGAAGGAGACAGCGATTATGTAAACACACACACACACACACACACGTACATATATTCGAGATTGCCTCTTTGTAATCTCCGCGATCGAGTTCGAACTTGACGATGAGGGATGAAGCAACCCCAAGAGAGAGAGAGAGAGAGAGAGAGAGAGAGAGAGAGAGAGAGAGAGAGAAGATCCCTTCGGAAGGAATAAGCTGCGTGGGAATAACGTGGAAATGGGATGGGAAAAGCGAGGAGGTGGGAGATTACTTCCGGCCGTAATCGACCGAGCATCTTTGACGTTTGGACAAATCGCGAAACTGCGGCGGAAGAAATCAAATCGCTCCTTTTGTCTCCCATTCCGACTATCTTATTACGCGAAAAGAAAAGCGAGGATTAACGAGTGTTTAAAGCGATATTTAAAGCGACAGAGCGTCTCTCCTCTTTAAGGATCGGGCTTCATTTTCGATTTGTTTTTTTATTCGTTTATTTATTTTTATTCATATGGACTGTACATGCAATATGTGTATAATAATGCTTATTAATTATTTATTAGTTTAGTAAACATTATTATACACATATTTGATACCGTATATAATAATGTATATTGTTAGATGTGCACCATTATTATACGTATAAAACAATAACGTAATAATAATAATAACAGTAATAATAATAATAATAAAAATAATAATAATAATATAATAACAATAATAATAATAATAATAATAATGTACAATACATATTATTATTATATTTTATTATATATTATTATTACATTTTATTATATATTATTATTATATTTTAATAATAATAATAATAATGTGCAATATATTATTATTATATTTTATTATGCATTATTATATAATGACACACAAAATAGTATGCAATGTATTTATCCTTGAAGAATCGTAGATTGGAGGAAGCGAGATTCGTGTTTGGAAATCTTGTAATTTAATGGAAAAGTCAGTTTAACTCTTTTACGAGACTTTTATATATATATATCTCGCTAATCATCTTTCCATAAAAATCTTTCCATAAAAAGACTCGACGATCGAGAATTATAGTTAAACGAAATAGCTGAAGCCAATATAAGCTTATTTCTCTTTTTACGCTAATACATTTTCTCCTAATAATTCAATTTCCATTAAGAAAAAAAATAACTGATAAATTCTTCTAATATCTATCGATATTTATTTATACATATTTTTTTATACATATCACATGTATAAAAAATTAAAAAATCTATAATGTGAAAACTCTTTAACAACTCGATCATTTTTTCGTAAAATATATTTGCAGAAATATTTTATGAATAAAGTTAATAAAAAAAAAAATATATATATATATATATAATGAATATTTAAACAATATAATATTAATAATATTATAAAATATTTAAGAATATTTATAAAATAATTATAATAAAAAATTATTCCAAAAATATTTTTGTGAAATAAATAACTAAAAAATGTTTTCTCTTTTAACAATTCTTCTGAATAACATTAAATTAAAAAAACTCATCTGATAAATATAAATTCAAGTATGAAAAAGAGCTAATAAGAGTTTAACCACGGATATTATTTAACAAATGACTATACTTGTTTTGTAACAAAATAAGTATAGAAGAATATTTTTTAAATATTCTATATATCAAAAAATTACTCAATATTTAATTCATTTTACATTAAAAATAATTTCGTCACGTCTTTTCATACTTGAATTTTTTCTCAATAACTCTTTTGTAATTCGATACCGGGAAAAAATTTTGTAAATATAATTATATATAAATAATTGTGTAATTATACATATAATCGTAAAAAAAATTATATGTAAAATATGTCCATATTTTTATACATAATTATATAAGTTTATATATAAATTATAAGGGTTCATACATATTCATGTCAAATTATATACGAAACATATATATTTATATATATATGAAAAAATATCTATTATATATATATAAATTTATATAATTATATATAAAAAGCACTTTTATCTAATTACGTATGGACATATTTCATATATAATTTTATATAATATATATATTTCTATATAATTTTATATTGTTATATATAAAAAAATGTTTACCGGGCAATGTTAACACTTGTAGTATAAATTGAAATATAAAAAAAGCTAATAAGAATTAAGCACGGATATTAATTGACATATACTAACTATACTTCTTTTGTAACAAAATAAGTATGGAGGAACATATTTAAAAAATTCTACATATTAAATTATTAATACATTATTCAATATTTTACATTAAAAATAACTCCGCCGCGCCTTTTCATACCTGAATTTCTCCCCAATAACTCTTTTGTAACTCGATAATGTTATAACACTTGGTGTATTATTCGTACCGATAATTGCCGCGTCTCGGTGAAATTCCTCATTATGACAGGATGCTAATTGGTCCATTCGGAATCCAGCGATGCAGCAGAGAAAACTGTGGGGGTGGTTTCCAAAATTCGTCGCTCCTTTCCGTTTGATCTCGCAATTTCCGAACAATAAACACAAATCGATCTTCCCACTGTTTTTTTTTTTTTTTTTTTTTTTTATATCCTTTCCACGTCGAATCGTCTTATCGATCGATATCTCGCGTCATGCGCCGCTCTTGACAGCGATATACGGGCGAAAAATCGTTCGGGATCGCAAGAATCGAAAGTCGGAGGAATTTCCTCCAGGAATTTCGCGCTAATCGATTTTCCGACGAGAGGAACAAACGGAATCTCTCTCTCTCTCTCTCTCTCTCCCTTTTCAGGACTTTCCCTCTCGTTGCCTTCTCGTCTTTTACTTTCTCTCCCCGGCGCGGCGACGGGGTGAAAAATCGAGCGTTGGCGTTTATTGCGTTTTCCCGCCCTCGTTTCTCGCGAATTCAAGCCGCGATCGGCGAGAATCCTCGGCGCCTCCTGTCATTCCCGATTTGACAGTTCCGCTCCACGTGAGTCCACGCGCGATCTCCTCCGATTTCCAAGTCACGATGACAGATCGGGACAGAAGAAGCACTCTTTCCTATCCGAAATAAATCCGCGAGATTCGAAGAAAGCCTCCCTCGCGACGCATCTCGCTTTCTCAATTCCGAAGGTCCTTCGACCTCGATCGGCGATCGATTAAAAGGGCCGAAAAATCGGGGGTTGAAAAATCGTCGGGCGATTTCAAAATCTCCTTTCTCGCGTGGACGAAATTTTCCGTCGTCCTTTCTCGCCCCCGTGTTCGCCGGAAGTCCCGAAGGGCGCGAAAGGGTGGATAGAGAACGTCCGGAGGTGACGTCGCGCGATCGCAGCCGCCACAGCACGACTGGCCGAACGAACGGGCCGGAACGAGCGGGCCACCCTCTCCCCCTTTTTCCTCCCCCCCTTCCGCCCCCCCCCCACCCCTCTTCGTCGAGCCACCCTCGCGCTTGCCCTCCCCGACAGTGCCGTACGTATAATTTTCGCGCTTTATGCAATCTTTCCTTTTCGCCGCCCGCAATTTTCCGTGTCGCCCAGAATTATCTCACCCTCTTTTTTTTTTTCTTCCACCTTTGAGCAAAATTTTTTTTCAGGGGGTGAAAGACGCGTGTCGACCTCTCGAGTCGCCCTTTTTTTCCCTCTCTCTCTCTCTTTGCGAGTCGTCATCCGTTCCGGGATACGAGAGTTTGAGTGAAGAGCGTTCGTGGACGACGTCGTTAAGATTTTTCCTTTTACCACCCTTTGCCAGTTTTCTCTCTTCCTCGCGGTCTTGTGTGTGCGAGTCAAGGGATGGGAACCTTATACTTGAAACACATGCATACTCAATGCTCCTCGCACTTTGTTCTCGCCAGATGGAATATAAAACTCATAATGACGGCATCGTGATTTTATTCGTCACTTGAAATTAGCTGGGAAAAATGATTTAAAAATGAGAAGAGAAATTATATATAGATTTAAAGCTGCTTTAATATATAATTTTCGAAAAATTTGTCACTTGATAATATTGTTAGGGAATATGTGTGAACAGTAGAATAAATAAATAATTGTTATATAAAAAATTATTTTTTTAAAATAAATTTTAAGTGACAAGTTATCATGATTTTATTCATCTTTTAAAATTATCTGGACAAAAGTGATTTAAAAATGAGAAAAGAAATTTTGGATTTAAAGCTCTCTAATGTGAGATAATCGCTTTATATAATTTTTTCGAAAAATTTGTCACTTGAATATTGTTAGAATATATGTGAGCGATAGAATAAATAAATAATTTAATATAAAAAGTTTTTTTCAAAAATTGAAAATGAATTTTAAGTGACATCATCATGATTTTATTTATCACTTAAAATTAGCTGGGAAAAATGATTTAAAAATGAGAAGAGAAATTATATATAGATTTAAAGCTGCTTTAATATATAATTTTCGAAAAATTTGTCACTTGATAATATTGTTAGGGAATATGTGTGAACAGTAGAATAAATAAATAATTGTTATATAAAAAATTTTTTTTTTAAAATAAATTTTAAGTGACAAGTTATCATGATTTTATTCATCTTTTAAAATTATCTGGACAAAAGTGATTTAAAAATGAGAAAAGAAATTTTAGATTTAAAGCTCCCTAATGTGAGATAATCGCTTTATATAATTTTTTCGAAAAATTTGTCACTTGAATATTGTTAGAATATATGTGAGCGATAGAATAAATAAATAATTTAATATAAAAAGTTTTTTTCAAAAATTGAAAATGAATTTTAAGTGACATCATCATGATTTTATTTATCACTTAAAATTAGCTGGAAAAATGATACAAAAATGAGAAAAGAAATTATATATAGATTTAAAGCTCCTTAATATAAGATTCTCACTTTATATAATTTTCCAAAATTAATGTCGCTTGAATATTGTTAGAATATATGTGAACAATAGAATAAATAAATAATTATAACATAAAAAAATTTTGTTCAACAATTAAAAATTAATTTTAAGTGACATTATTACGATTTTAATCATCACTTAAAATTATTTGGACAAAAATGATTTAAAAATAACAAAAGAAATTATAGATTTAAAGCTCCCTAATGTGAGATGCTCGCTTTATATAATTTTCAAAAATTTATACCGCTTGAATATTGTTAAAACATATGTGAACAATATAAATAAATAATTGTAATATAAAAAATTAATTTTAATAAAAATTATCTGGATAAAAATGATTAAAAACGATTTAAAGATAACAAAAGAAATGATAAAAAGCTCTCTAATATAAAATAATCGCTTTGTATAATTTTCAAGAAATTTATGTCGCTTGAATATTGTTAGAATATATGTGAACAATAGAATAAATAAATAATTGTAATATAAAAAAGTTGTTTCAAAAATTGAAAATGAATTGACGTCATCATAATGTCATTATGAATTTTATGTTCTATCTGGGACTCGACTCGAAATTCCCGGAATTTCTCTCGTCTTTTGCTGATAACGCGGAGGGAAAATTGAATTTTGACACATGACGGTGTCAAGTGTCATCACGCTACGTTCGAATTTTTTTTTTTTTTTTTTTTTTTTTTTAATTCAGTTCCGCGAAAACTGAAATATAATATATCGAAGGAAAAAGAGAAAAGAAGGAAAAAGAGCCGTATTGTGTCTTCAAAAGAGATATTCTTTGAGAAAGAAAAACAGGAAGATACAATCTCGTTTTCTGGAAAACTAGATAGAGAGAAAGAGAGAGAGAGAGAGAGACGTTTATAAATCAAATCAATCACGGCTTTCTTGTTACGAGAGAAACATAAAATAGAGCTGTGTAAATATATCGTATGAATGAAGCTTTAATTTTACATTACATTACGTTACGCTTGACTTGTAAATTTTATGCAAATATTTCTACAATGTACAGATATAGTACATAAGTTATTCAAGACCTTCTGAAAGCGACAGAATTTCCTTTCATCACGCTAATACGTCTTAGTCAATTTTAAATCGATTTCTCTTCAACGAAACGAGGCGAAACTTCTTTCTAGTTTCTTTTAAACAATTAATAATTGAATAATTAAATATTATTAAGTAAATTAATTTTTGTATGACTAACCATTGCAAATAATTAATAATTAAAATTAGGAGACATTTTCTAGCGAATTAAACTTTAAGAGAGAGAATGAGATGAGATTATGTAAATACGATATAAATAAAATTTTCTGATTTTTAAAAATTACAATTTCAAGATAATTGATTAATTTTCGAAAAAAATCTAAATTTATAAAAAATCAATTAAAAAAATATTAGTTATCGCACAGCTACATTTTATCTCTGGATGTTACATCTGAAATTTAATTACCGTGTCTAAATTTTAATTATAAAAATTAATATTTGTAAGCTTCGTTTAGTATAAAAATTCCTCGTTAAATTAAAGTTAAAAAATATATTTAATTATATATATATATATATATATATATATATACATATATATATATGTATATTAAATTGAGTTACCACACAGTTAATACACAGATTTTAGGTATCTCTGTTCCATACCTGACATTTAATTACCATGTCTAAATTTTAGCTATAAAAATTAATATTCGTACGTTTCGTTTAGCATAAAAAATTCCTCGTTAAATTATAGCAAAGAAATGTATTTAAAATTATATTATATATATTGAATTTTTTGAGTTACCACACACAGTTAAATAATAGGCAACTAAATTTCACAGACGGAGACACCTAAAATTTAGCTGTGACAGCAAATTTATTTTTATATCTGTCTTTTTTTTTATGTAAAGCACGTGTCCACTTAAAAATTCGATCTCGTATCTCTTTCTCTCTCTCCGACTTTAGATCATTGCGTGTTCCAAATAGGAACGTCATGCTGCACGAAGTCCAGCAATAGGGATAAGTCATTTTATTGATCCGGCTTAATATCACGCTCGTAGGCTACCTGTGCTCGCTCTGCTTGCTGAGTTTTCTCTTTTCACGGTGGAAATATATGCACACGCGCGTATATATCCGCATATATATGTGTGTGTATACGTATATAATACACACACACACACACATACACATATTGGCGAAATACGTAAAACAGATAATGAAAATGTCAATATAGTAAAATGGGCTCTGCGAGATCCACGCGAGATACGCGACTTTTATGCGTTCCCGATATATATTTATTCCCGACTAAATACATATTTGGATGCGGGAGAGATATACATGTATGTATGTATATACATAAAGATACTTCTCCATTCATCTCTTTTTCGTTTCGCGTTATCGAGTGGAAGACTCGATTAGAATCGTGTTATACGTAAAAATGTACCTTTTATACAGTGTTGTGCTTAGATGATTTTAAAATTAGCTAGATAAAGATGAGATAAAAATATGTGAATTCATCTTAGATCAGATGATTTTGTTTTAAATATATCTAGGTAAAAGATAAAATTATATAACAACTCGCAGTGTTGTGCTTAGATCATTTTAAAATTAGCTACATAAAAATGAGATAAAAATATGTAAATTCATCTTAGACAAGATGAAGATAATTTTGTTTTAAATATATCTAGCTAAAAGATAAAATTATAAGGCGATTTATCTAGATAATAATTTTTAAGACTGCTTATATGAACACAGTTATAAAAAAAATGTAAATTATAAAAAAAAAATATAAAAATATATGTATTTATATTTTTATTCATAAATTTTTATCGCTTACTGCTTAAGTTCTACTATTTAAATATTTTTATGTGCTATGATTCTAAATCTAAATTATCTCAAAATTATTCTGGATAATTTAGTAAAGATAATATTTTTTTTCATCTAAGATGCACAGATATAGATAATACATATTTTTATTATCTATATAAAAATAAGATAAGGCCAAAGTTTCATCTAGATGATCATTTATATAATTTTATTTATTAGATAACAGCAAACACTGACCTTATATATGGAGAGCATCTGATAAAAGTGAATTAAAATTATTTCTCAATGTCGAAATTTTTTTCCCTATTATTGTATATCGAATTTTTTCCCTATTATTGCATAAACTTTCGCGATCTCGTACAAATCGTTGTATGTATATAATTAAATGTCTAATTAAAATCCTTTTACAAATCCTTACGAAAGTTTTCTTGATAGAATCTCCTTAATGGAGAGAATCTTGATTTTTCATTATTTATTTTCTACTTCCAGACATTGTGTGTGCCTTTATAATTAAACGGTAAATTAAAATTCTTTTGAAATTTCGATTTTATCGATAGATTCTTTCTACATTTGAAGTAGGTTTTTCATTTTAATATATGTATATCTTCTTTAATTAAATTTTGAATTAAAATTTCATTTAAAAAAATTAAGATTCTGTTGATAGATTTTC